ATGGTCATTACATTAACATTGTAATTTTATTGAGTTTTCACAGCAAACAGTCAAATCATAGCAGGTAACATACAGTGACTTATTATAACATAATTACATATTTATAAATGGGTGGGGAAGACCATAATTAACACAAAATGTCTCACCTGCATGCAGAATTAGCGATATGCAAATCTACCCGAATATGCAAATTGCCAGTCTTGCTATTCAGTTAGTACATATTACTGTTGCTACCAACAGAGGGCACTACAGAAGCTCCCTAGCCAAATCCACCAAGTTGGTAGCAATCCTCAGCAGTACAGGAGAGCAGGCAATACATCCCAGGGGCCATAGTCACATGGCAGGAGGCTGGCAATCAGTCTTCTCCAATGCCAAGTGGTGGGGCTGGTTCCGCCACAAAATTCTTCTAGGAGAATGGAAACTTCACCCGGCAGTCTTTGCATGGATTGCCCATCGGTGGGGCATACCACAGATCGACCTGATGGTGTCCTGCCAGAATCATCAGGTAGAGAATTACTTCTCCCTCCACCCGGACAGTCAGGCAATGGGCCAGGATCCTCTCTCTCTTCCTTGGTCATTCGATCTAGGGTATGCGTTCCCTTCCCTACCCATGATACCTATGTTCCTGCGGAAGGTTTGGTTGGAAGGCAAGAAGGTTATTGCCATAATTCCGATTTGGCCTCGGAGGCCGTGGTTCTCCCTATTGGCTATGATGAGCCAAGAACAGCCTTGGCCTCTTCCGGTTATGGAGGATCTGCTAACGCAGGGCCCAATATTCCATCCTCATCAGGAACGCCTCAAATTGGGGGTATGGGTCTTGAAAAAGAAAGACTTCAACTACTAGGTCTCTCAGAAGCAGTGGTCAATACCCTTTTGCAATCAAGGAAAGTTTTTACTACCGCATGCTACCATAGGATCTGGGATGTTTTGTCCCCCTTTTTGTGCCCCTTTTTTACTGACTGCGATTTTCAAATCACACACAGAAGAGAAAATAGCACAGTCAGTAAAAAAGGGGGACAAAACATTTTTTAGATACATAAATGAGAAAAGAAAAATAAAACAAGGATTAGTTAGATTAACCCCTTAAGGACACATGACATGTGTGACATGTCATGATTCCCTTTTATTCCAGAAGTTTGCTCCTTAAGGGGTTAAAAACAAAAGAAGGAAGGTATGTAGAAGAGGATAAAGGTCTAGCTGACTGCCTCAATTAATATTTTTGTTCTGTATTTACAGATGAAAATGAAGGAAAAGGACCTCAGTTGAGAAAAAGGATAAATGAGTCATTTATTACACGTGAGTTTACAGAGGAAGAGGTTCTATTTCAACTGTCAAAAGTAAAGACAAATAAGTCAATGGGACCTGATGGAATACACCCAAAGCTATTAAAAGAGCTTAATGGTGTACTAGCAAAACCATTAACAGATTTATTTAACCAATCATTGTTAACAGGAATGCTGTGCCCAGTTACAAGAAAGGTAATAGGGAGGAGTCGGGCAACTATAGGCCAGTAAGCCTTACTTCAGTAGTGGGGAAAGTGATGGAAACCACGTTAAAGGATAGGATTGTTGAACATCTAAAAACACATGGATTTCAAGATCAGAGACAACATGGATTTACTTCAGGGAGATCATGCCAAACTAATCTTATTGATTTTTTTTGATTGGGTAACTAAAATTATAGATCAGGGTGGTGCAGTAGACATTGCTTACCTAGATTTCAGTAAGGCTTTTGACACTGTTGCACATAGAAGGCTTATCAATAAACTGCAATCTTTAAGTTTGGATTCCAATATTGTTGAATGGGTAAGGCAGTGGCTGTGTGACAGGCAACAGAGGGTTGTAGTTAATGGAATATATTCGAAGCTTGGACTTGTCACCAGTGGGGTACATCAGGGATCTGTACTTGGACCCATTCTCTTTAATATTTTTATTAGTGATATTGCAGAAGGTCTTGATGGTAAGGTATGTCTTTTTGCTGATGATACTAAGATATGTAACAGGGTTGATGTTCCAGGAGGGATAAGCCAAATGACAAATGATTTAGGTAAACTAGAAAAATGGTCAGAATTGTGGCAACTGACATTTAATGTGGATAAGTGCAAGATAATGCATCTTGGACGTAAAAACCCAAGGGCAGAGTACAGAATATTTGATAGAGTCCTAACCTCAACAATTGAGGAAAGGGATTTAGGGGTGATTATTTCTGATGACTTAAAGGTAGGCAGACAATGTAATAGAGCAGCAGGAAATGCTAGCAGAATGCTTGGTTGTATAGGAGAGGTATTAGCAGTAGAAAGAGGGAAGTGCTCATGCCATTGTACAGAACACTGGTGAGACCTCACTTGGAGTATTGTACACAGTACTGGAGACCGTATCTTTAGAAGGATATTGATACCTTAGAGAGGGTTCAGAGAAGGGCTACTAAACTGGTTCATGGATTGCGGGATAAAACTTACCAGGAAAGGTTAAAGGATCTTAACATGTATAGCTTGGAGGAAAGACGAGACAGGGGGATATGATAGAAACATTTAAATATATAAAGGGAATCAACACAGTAAAGGAGGAGACTATATTTAACCCCTTAAGGACCAAACTTCTGGAATAAAAGGGAATCATGACATGTCGCACGTCATGTGTCCTTAAGGGGTTAAAAGAAAAACTAGCACAACAAGAGGACATAGTCTTAAATTAGAGGGACAAAGGTTTAAAAATAATATCAGGAAGAATTACTTTGCTGAGAGGGTAGTGGATGCATGGAATAGCCTTCCAGCTGAAGTGGTAGAGGTTAACACAGTAAAGGGGTTTAAGCATGTGTGGGATAGGCATTAGGCTATCCTAACTATAAGATAAGGCTAGGGACTAATGAAAGTATTTAGAAAATTGGGCAGACTAGATGGGCCGAATGGTTCTTATCTGCCGTCACATTCTATGTTTCTATGTGTTCCGGGAATGGGCTTTGGTCAAAAATGTTGACTTCCTGCATCCTCACAATACTGAGATCATAGAGTTCCTGCAAGAGGGTCTGGATAAGGGCCTTAGCCTCATCACTCTTAAAGTTCAGTCTTCGGCTCTTTCAGCTTTGTGCAACATCTCATGGACTTCAGATCCTTTGATCTCCAGGTTCTCCAAGGCAGCTTTCAGGTTGAGACCTCCTTCCAGATTTACTTCCCCTCCTTGGGATCTTCCTCTGGTGCTCAATTACCTAACTGAGGATCTGTTCATTCCTCTTGAAAGTTTGGATGCTACCCTCCTGACATATAAAACTTTGTTTTTGGTAGCAATTACTTCCGCATGAAGAATTTCGGAGATTAAAGCATTTTCTACCTTATCTTCTTGTTTTCAATTCTATCAGGATAGGGTGTGTCTGAAACCAAAACCTGAGTTTCTTCCTAAAGTGGTCTCTCAGTTTCATCTCTCTAAAGAAGTGGTCCTTCCATCGTTCTACCCCAAACCTTTTTCGCCAGAGGAGGTTAGATGGCAACGTTTGGATGTCATGAACTGCCTGTCCATGTACCTTAAGTATTCTGAGTCATACCGAAAAACTGACCAACTCTTCGTTTTACCGTCGGGAGCCAGGAGAGGTGAGGCGGCTTCTTTATCTACATTAAAATGTTGGATTTCACTGGTAATCAGGAAAGCATATATCTCTAAAGGTCGATCTCCTCCAATGAAGATAACTCGTTCTACTAGAGCATTGTTGACATCATGGGCTAAGTGGGCAGAGGTTCCATACGATATTTGCAGGGCAGCCACCTGGTCTCCCCGATGACGTTCTTGAAACACTACAAACTGGATGTGGACTCTCCTTCCACCTCCTCTGGGAAGAGTGTCCTGTCTACAGTTTCTTTATCCCGTTGATATTAAATTTCTTTGCAGCATAAGAGTCTGTTCAGTGTCTTTTCTCGGTTCAATATTCCCACCCTATAATTCTGTGAGCTTGGGTATTACCCATAAGTGATGCTGCCATGATTAGCCAGGAATAGAGAGAATTTATAACAAACTTACCGTAATTTTCTTTTCCTGGCTATTTCTAATGGCAGCATCAGGGTTCCCGCCCTTTCTTTTAATTTTCAGCTTTATAATTGGACTGAGGTGTAAGGGGAGGAGGGACTCTTTATACCCATCAGTCTAATTAATTAATCTAATTAATTCCTGTCCTGTGACTGCTAAGGGAGGAGCTACCCATAAGTGATGCTGCCATGAGAAATAGCCAGGAAAAGAAAATTACGGTAAGTTTGTTATAAATTTTCTCTATTATAAAGTCTGTTGAAAAAAAAAAAAAAAAAAATATATATATATATGCTTGTGTACAAAAGCTGAACAAAGTGATAAGTATTAAACAATAAATTGAAATGTCTCTATTGATACGAAGATAATCTCAAGATATATCACTAGTCTATGTAGCTCTGATAGGCTGACTCTAGTGGTACCCCAAAGCCTTGTTTTTGGTGTCAAGACTTATTACACTATTGAGGTCTTTTTTTTTTTTATATATATATATATATATATATATATATATATATATATATTTATTTATTTATTGCAGATTATGTTTTATATGTTGTCATTTAAGTAGTATTAGAGGAATCTTCATTTAACCTGGTACAAGAGTTCAATATGGCAGTCAATGGAAGCTCTCATGGGACCAGCTACCAGTCTTTAACAACCTATTCAAAAGGTCTTGAGATAATCGATGAAAGTAAACAGTTTACAGTTAAACATGGTCATGCTCTGTGATATCTCTGTGTGAAGCTGCAAACGAAAGTGCAGAACAATAATTTTACCAAGACATGTACAGTCAGTCAATAACTATATATTCCTTAATAAATTTCATTGGAATTGGACTTGATCGAATTCTAAACACGGCAGTAAAAACAGGAAAGGTTGATACAATGTAAAAGCTTTTTTTTTTTTTTCTTTTTTTTTTTTTTATTAAAGAAAGCCATAATTTAAACAGCAATATAAAATAATTTTAACAAAATATTTAAATAGAAAACACTCTTCTAGAAGTTGCTTTAAAAATAGAATTTATAAATGTATAAAATAAAGAAAAATGTTATACAATCTGGAATATTCAACAAAGACAATTTACACTACACCATGTGCAGTGTCTCTTTAAGCCATTTTGTGTGCATGTTAAAAAAAAATAAATGTAAAAATGAAAAAAGGCAGGACTATGACATAGCAGCCTATGACTAAACCAGCGTAAAAAAAACATTATCACACTGAACAAATACAAATATACGCATATATAGCAAAGAGGTCACTCTGCAGGTGTTCCACTTTCTAACCGGACAGATCTCAAAAGACTTGTGTCAATTCGAACACAGCCTCATGTGAACTGCTCTGTAAATTCAACATTCACTGAATAGCTCAGAGTTAACCAAAGGACAGGCACCTCTCATTTTAGGGGAGACCCAGGCTGAGTCAGAGGAGTTTTGCTGGACCAAAGCACAGACCAACGTTATCCAATGGGGAGGGCCTTTTTTGTCAGTGAATACAGGAAGATTGATATCCTCACAATTTACATTTTTTTAAAAATTTTTTACATCTTGAGACATTGTGGCCATATGTAAAAATAACCCGTATACACCTAGCCAATCACAAGGGACATATATATTTGTATTTTAGTTCACTAACAAACAATGTATTTTAGTTCACTAGATTTCACTTTATACTGGGGCTGCTAATGACAAATGTAAGACAGCAGTAATAATAAAATAAAGTGATTTCCCTCCCCCCAATTCACATTTCATCAAGCAAAGCTGAGTTAGAAGGGCTGACTGATTGGAAGTTCGAAAAGAAAAAAAGATGGAAAACAATTCTACAAATATTACATAGATTTCCTCTTTGTGGTCAGCAATGGTCTCAGTTAGCCATATCTCCTTAAGTGAGCTTCAGCAGATTGTTTCAATAACTATGTTTATTGTGTTTTGGAGGTTTGCTTAAACAGTCAAGCTGAAGGAACATGCCTAACAGAGGACAGTCAAGTTAAAACTCTGCTTAGAGGGCTTCAAGCCATCAGCAAGGTCAGATCTGTTTCCTAGACGAGTGCATGTGATTGAATAATAATAAAATAAACCCAGCAGGAAGAGTCAAATTTTTTTAAAAGGTTAAATCTGATGCCTCTATAGGGGAGTCCCTATTCTCACTAGCCATAAGACACCCTATAATTATTACAGGGTTAACCAATAGGAGTTCACCATTCTGCACCTGGGCTTGAACTCTCTCCCAAAGTAGATGTTCCCCTGGTTCCAGCTGTGCTCACGACTTTTCAATACTGGCTACCATGTCTTCTATGGCAGTCCAGTCCAGTTTGCTGAGGATGCTGCCTGTGCTCTCGGATGAATTATCCATTTTGGATTTTCGAAAGCTGTCATCGCCTTCATATAATGAGCCCTGCAGAAGGGAAAAAATATACGATCCATATCAATGTTCTACTTAATAACTATATAAACAGACATCACCAAGACTTCAGTGAACGGTGTAGCCCTCTTCCATTCATTTTTAGATGGCTAGAAATGGAATGAATTCTTGTAAACCCACTAAGTGTGGCTTGACCTTTCTTAGAATCATTGGTCCCTGATCTAAGTGACAATATCAGTCTTGTACCTGAGATAGGAGTGAGTTCCGGTGGATCTAAGTGACAGTATCAGTCTTGTACCTGAGAAAGGAGTGAGTTCCGGTGGATCTAAGTGACAGTATCAGTCTTGTACCTGAGAAAGGAGTGAGTTCCGGTGGATCTAAGTTACAGTATCAGTCTTGTACCTGAGAAAGGAGTGAGTTCCGGTGGATCTAAGTGACAGTATCAGTCTTGTGCCTGAGAAAGGAGTGAGTTCCGGTGGATCTAAGTTACAGTATCAGTCTTGTACCTGAGAAAGGAGTGAGTTCCGGTGGCTGTTTAATATCTTGTTAATGTCATCAGGTACCTCCCATGGGCTCACCACGTCCCTTTCCTCCTCAAAGTCCTCTGTAGTTTGGTTAACTACATGCCTAAAATTTGATTTCTTTAGATCTGGTTAAGAGAAGTAGAGAGTTATTGTCAGGAAAACATTCGCTTTAAAGTAAATCATCTTCTTTTAACAGGAAATAGAAAAACTAACACAGAAACATCAGTGTTCGGTGCTACCATTGTGATAAAAACTTTTCTGTCAAACTAAACAGAGCAAAATGTCTACCCCGTCCTAAATCCTAGTTTATATTTGAGACACCTAGAGATATGCATTTACACGGTACAGAAGATGGCCTCTCTTATCCTAGTTGGAGGGGCTGGCTGCCTTTATTTTTCCATCCAATCAAATAATTCCTACCTTGATGCTGTGATTTAGAGGGTGTGGGGGCTTGTTTAAGAGACATTTGATTATGGACCTTTGCCATATTCCTTCCTGACAGCAGTCCCCTACGAGTAATCTGAGACATGCGGTCTCCGGGTAAAGATGCATCTAGAAGAAGAAAAATCCCCTGAGTTACAAAATTACACAAAACTAAAAACTTGTAAGAACTGCACAATTTTTTAAAAAATTTTTTTAAATGGAAAAATCTGTGTGAAAAAAAACCAAAAAAAAAACTAGCTGCTCTAGAATTGTACCATGCTGTAATTACTTGTTTAGAATTTTGTTGCCAATAAAATGTACAATAGGTGCAGAAAACGAGTGTATTTTGTAGATAACATAATAGCATTACACATCTACCCCATTTTTTATATAGTTTTATTCATTTTGTAAAGTTAAATAAAAAAGAAATGAAAATTGCATGTATAGCCTGATAATAGGGATAAATGTTATTGATTATCCTAATGTACAATTATTCACGTAGCTACTGACTGGCCGTCAGGACAGATGATTTCATGCAGTTACTACATGTGGCCAATGTGTATTTTCTGGTCACCGAGCAGGGATTGATGGCTAGTTAGATTTGTGTTGGCTTTGTATGTACATATATAAAGAAACATCCAGTACAGAGTATAAGACCCGTTCTGACAAGTCCTCACCAAATTTCACATGAACAGGATAGCTGGGGGCTCTTCTAACCCTTGGTCTGGGGTCCAGTGAGCTCTTTGGAAGAACAAATGTTGAGTTACCTGTAAAGATAGATTAATACGAATCAAAAATGTCAATACTGAGCTAAATGTTGTTAAAGAGGATCAAGATGAAATATTATACATTCTGATACAGCGATCCAGTTGAAATGGACTATGTCTATTAAGATGACCTTCCTTTCTGGAATTGCTGGAGTGTGAAACAATCCCTGTTCAATTAGTTTCAGAAGAAAATTGGAGGAAATTGTGTAAAAGCCCAAATCCATCATCTCGCAGTTTGACCACAGCACCCTACTTTGCTAACTCGTCATCAATCTTTTCCCATGGTGATTCTACTTCTGTTTCTCTACTCCGCAGGCAGCACGTTACTGGTTACTGGAACTTCATAGGGTTTGAGATTTGACTTCCTCTCTAGCGATTTTGAAATGGCCCATAAAAAAAAACTTCTTTAAAGAGTCTCCTAAATCCTTCCACTAACTTCAATGCTCATACCCTTATAATGGCTACACTTTAGAGGGGGAAAAACACTTTACTGGATTTTAAGATACAAACCCTAACTTAAATATTTCATTCTCTCTATAGATTCTAAGCGTGCAGGCAGGGCTCTAAAAACCTAATGTTAAAGTTTCATTATATGCTTTACTATATTACTGCTGTGTTATCATTTACCAAGAAACCCGGTCTATAGCTGGGTACAATAAAATCAACAAATATTTTCTATCGTTTTCATTTTTTATAAAGGTTTTTAATAGCTTTAAATTTCTAACACTGCTCTTTGTAATGGCATTCTTGAGTGATGATAAAAGCTGTGTAAAGTTCCTTTAGGAAACATTACTTCCCTACAGCCCGATCTCCTATTAAATCAATAGCTGCATGGACTAAAGGGAGAACATACAGTTTGATCCCCTTCAACCCATGGTCCTTGTTACTTAATAGAATACAAGAGGTTAACAGAAGTGCGGGGGGCGGGGGGAAGAAGCTGTGGAGGATATGTAGGAGCCTTTTGCACAATCCTAGTTCTAACAACATTCTAACCGAGCTAGGAGAAGAGAAGGATCCATGGCTGGAAGGGGTTTGATGTAAAAGTGATCAAACCATAAAATATCCGGGCAAAAGAAACACTATCTGAAGAACAGAGCTCCTTCTGCCTGGTCGTTATCCTTGAATCCTGTAACAAATCAGAGTTTGGGCTGCATATTGCAGAATCAAAGGCTGAATAAATATGTTCACTTTACAGCAACGTTATACGGGCAACTGTACTCAGAGCCACCATCAGGAGTTACACCCACTTTAGCCAGTACCCTGGTAAGGTATCAGACAAAGTCATGGGGGCCATAGGGTCCCTGTAATACTATACAATCCAGTTGGAATAATGGAAGGATCACAGTTGCCAACGGTATCAGAGAGTGTCCCCATTACTGGAAGGGAAGCCTGGATGGTTTTCATGCAGACAGCAGTGCTGGGAAGGTGTGATATATCACATCTGCACAGCATTACTAGGCAGCATTGATGGGATCCTTAAATTGTAATGTATTTGTGCTATTCGATTTGCACACTAAGGCTCTGATGCTATGGCTGTGTGGAGGGGATTTAGAAAAAACATCATATCACTAGGTCTCCCACAAACAGCTGTGCTAAGGGCCTCACTATTGTGCAGGTAATTAACCAATAATGGCCTGGCCATACTACATGGGCAGTAAGAATAGATTTGGGAGGGTGAGGAGGGAAAGGGGGTATGGGGTCTAACTTCCTTGGGATGGAGTATAGGAGGACAAGGCATGTAGCTTACCGGGAGGATGGAATGGGACAATTGGCTCTGGATGAATACGAAAGGAGATGTGTGGATGTGTCTGTTTCTGCCTCAAAGATAAATACACCAACATTTCAAGAAAGGAGATAGATTCCACAATAAATGGACACGGCAAAAGTTTTGGTTTTGTGGGAAGAATCATTGGGTGTCTTGTTCTCCAATTAGAATTCTGGTTCTCCAATTTGATTTCCATGTGCATCTATGCATATACCAGGAAATTTGATCTGACAGTGCATCAGTGTACGCGAGTCTTGCTGTGTGTGTATCTTGAATAAAGTTTCTGGGGGAGCACTGACTGATGGCTGTGTATAGCACACCAAGATTTCTGATAGCAGCCCTAACTGTGTTCTTACCCCTTAATCTTGATTGTGGAGGAGTAGAAAAGGCCTTTGGTTGAGAAAAGCCACCTTTCAGTAGGGAACTTCGTTTCTCCGATGGTTTTGAGGACAAGCTGTGCTTTCCAGCTGAAGACCGTCTGCAAGAAAATGATGTACAGTTATTCCACCTATTATAACGCAAACATGGATATTGACTAGTATGCAAAACTTATCTAAGCCAGAATTTGAAAAATGTAAATGAATCATACAATGACACCAAAAATTAATAAAACTAAATATCAATGTTGGTAAGTAATATCAATAATTTTGCATTAAATGCAAATAATATGTATGAGTAGCCCAGAATGGACATGCAGAATAGAAATCACTCCAGGAATTCAGACATTTGTATATATTGTATATGATACATAGAAAAATAAACCCCTCCCACCCCCCCAAAAAAACCTGCAGGGGTGAAATAGTATATTGTGCACTAGTTGATTAAATCATTTTGCCAAAGTTATAAATGTGTCCATCACTAGCTTACACACAAATCTAAATTTGTAAAACTGCCAATTGTCTCATAATGTGTGCTTGTTTGGCTAGCAGAGTTTAATGCCATCTGTGCAGATCAGTTCTGTTCAGGACACAAGATTTCAGTACTACAACTACCTGAAAACATTTCTGTGCTGCCCGATGACATATGCAATGTTATTGAACACTGCAGGTTAGAAGGATGGAACAGAAAGAAAGCTGGAAAATGTAGGCACAATTTGTACACAGAAAATACAGCTAATTATTTAGGCAAAATGTTATCAGGGCATAAAAAGTTGTTTGCCTGGTGTGTCCTTTAAATCAAAACAGAATCCAATAAAATCACTGTACAGACTTGAAAGACAGAATTACATGCAAGTGTCTTGATGTACAATAATTATCAACAGGAAAAAAACAAAACAGATCGCCACATTCGTTCCAGTATACGGCTGAATAAATATTTTAGTTCATAGTGGCTACAGGACCGCTCTACAGAACTAGTGAACTAATAACCAAGGCATAGCACATGAAACAAAAAAAATAATTACAAATAAAAAAATTGAAAGATATTCCATCCCAAGTATTATTCAGAAATGGATAGGTTTTACGATCTACAGAAAGCACAGTGCCGTTTACCCTTTAGGAGAAGAACGCAGTCCTGGGGTTCCAGATACACTGGGTTTTATTTTGGGACTTGCTGCTGGAATCTGCTTGGTTTCTGACAAGATCTCTTGCATGAGATTCACTGCATCTGATACACGGTGACTGTGATGCTGAGATAACAGCTTTCTGAAATGAGCAAGAAACACACACATACATCAATTCACCCGTCTCTAAGGAAGGGAAACCAAACAGGACTCACATCATGGCTACTGTACCTACAATGCTCTATGGCTGATCTCAGAGTAAGCTCTTAAAGGAAAAGGTTAATCCTATATAACCCTAGAATTAAACTGAACTATGCATATAAACTTTAATTCTGTTTAATAAAATAATGTGCAGCATTAGAATTGGATTGCATTTTCTTAAACTAACTAAATACAATCAATATAGTGATACAACACGTTTATTGGTTGTCAATAACCGGTTTTAATTAAGGTGGTCACGTTGATGCATTAGTATTTATTCATTCACTTTGATTTTTCACGCCAAATGGACAGTTGATTGAAATATTTTCATTTTTATTTGTATTGTTGTAATCCCATGAGGGTAGTTAACAATAATGTCTTAAGGCTCAGGGACAGCAAATACGCAAACAGATTTCCAATTGTTCTTTAAAACAAATGCTGCCATGTTGAAACCAAAATTTCTAAATAAGAAAACTCAGTTTATTTTAAATGTGTTAACACATGTGTTGTGAAATTTAGTTAACTAAATATCTCTACGTACAGTCCTGTTAATGAACAGGTAAACTGGGAGCTGTGCGGACTAACCCTGCAAAGATTTGAACATTTTTCAGTTTAAACAAACGCAATGTTTTAGCTTATATTTAAAATGAAAACCTTCCAGTCTACCTTTGCATTTTTCCAGTTTCTCAAGTCCCTACTTAACAGTATAATGTACTAGTTTACTAATCTAACACAATTAAGGTATTGTCAGTCAACAAGAACAAGGAGTCAAACTTACTTATCTTTTTCATCCTTCTCTCTCTGATTCAGACGGATTGCATTAGTGGTAAATGAAGTGTTCTGGAGTGAGAAGAAAAACACAACAATATTTATAAAGCAAATGAATAACTGCAGAAAAGTCGTATTGTTAGGCAGAACAATTTGTAGTTTAAACAGCCATTCGTTTCCACAAACCAAATCTCTCCTCACTGGACTTCACTACACTTTATAGATGGCTACAGTACAGAGAAGGCCTTTGGTGCTTTAATTGTAAAATGATCTAAAAGTCTCATCTTGAGATAATTTTCCAACACGGCACAGACCTTAATGTACTTAAAAGGAGGTGTGGGCACTAAAGGGTTAACTCACATGCACTTGAGTACCGCATGCCTCCCCCATTGCAGTTCCATGTTTTACATCACAGTATATGCTGCCAGGAAGATTTTGTAAAATAAATAAAAAATGTTTTTAATTTATCCCACCCCAATAGATCAAACAAATTCTTAAATAATAAAAAGAAAGAGAAAAACAAGGCCACTTCCAGCATCATATACTATCTATTACAAAGGACCAAATTTTGACTTTTCCATAAAATCTTTTGTTGTGACGGTATCAGATGGCCTCCCTGGCCTGATACTCATTATACGACAGATTCCCCTGCAGTAAATATTATTGAGTAACTGGATTAAGGCACGTTGGATTTTTGTCCATGTTCATAGGATAAACACACGAAGCCTTCTTATGCTGAATGTTTGCTTCTGCTGTGATAAATACACTTAGTCTTCACAGAAAACTGTCCCTTTGTTCCATGCCTCTCAGTGGAGACCTGGAAATGAAATAAACATGGTTCATGCAGAAGGTATTTCCATTGGACGGTTTCTGTAAATCCTGATGGAAATAGAAAATAAAACCCGTATGGGTAAGTAGCCAACGCTGCTCATCTTTAAGGCCACCAATAATGCTTTTGGAAATGTAATAGTTTTTGTTACATTCAAAGCCAAGACAGGTGACATACAGAAGGAATTATACAGAAGATATTTTTACAGCTCAGTTTCATTTCTCCCCTTTGAGATGGAACGTTGCATGTATGTAACCAAAGATATGACCAAAACACGCTTGGTTAGGCTTACTTTTATGAGCACCGTGCCTGGGAACTCACATAATGCTCCAACCCCTGCAAAGTGTAACAGATTCTGCAAATGAAACTTAATAAAGATCAATGGGATGTGAGGGTGGTAGAACATTGGTGGATTGAGGCTCTCAAGGGGAAGCCAGTGGGATTTATGTCTGCCTTACATCAGAGGCTAACTGAGGGACCTCACTCACTGGGTTTCCATGTTTGTAGAAGCTACATGCCTGAATGTGAAGATATTTGTTACAGTATGTGTGAATGCATGGGTCCACCTGTTAGACTTTGTCACAAAATCCAGCAGTATCCTCCCTGAGCTTGGACTTTGCAAAAGAGTTAAAAAACAGGGGAACATTCTCTTACTGCATTGCTCCTGGGTTGAAAAGGATCATGCTCCATTTCACGTAGTTCCTCAAGCTTTTTCCGGTGCTCAATCAAACGTTCTCTGCGCTTTCTCTTCATCCAGAGCTGAAGCTCTCTCCTCTCTTTTTGGGTCCTCTTTGAAGGACTTCGCGATGACGCATTATCCTGCCGTGCCCTGGAAATACACAGAGACTAAACTTTAAATCTATAATTAAAATTCAGATTTCAACATGCTATAATTCATTCACTAAACTCTGAATTATAGAAAACTGAAATCTATAGTAGAGTTAAAGAATTGTTCTAAATCGGCTATCTGTGCCTACATTTTTTAATTCAAATTTCAATTTACTATAATAATATAGTTTGGTTAATAATCCCAATTGTGATGAAAAAGAAAGAGAAAAGAGAACATGACCAACACAGTGTTGCTTTCTACATTCCAGGTTTTACATGTTGTCTAGAAGCATGCCAGTATGCTTATACCTGTATAATGTCCTCGCCTGAAACTCTGTTAAACCAAGTTCTGTAGCAGAAACACCTCCTTCCATGAGATCGTTCAGGATATCGGCAAAATCGCTCAGACCAGTCAGATCCAGGATGCTACAAAATAAGAATAGGATTACCGAGGAAATAATACAAACCGAGCACAATACAATGCCACTTCCACATGGTCGAAAATTAAAATGGTTTATAATAAATATTAAATATTAAAGTTTAAAAAACAAACAAGCAAAAAAAAAAAAAAATGTGGACATTTGGTTTCTTACCTTTTCCCCTCCTAATTAGGTCTATAGATTTTTGTATGTTTCCTAATGTGTCTCAATTTGTCTACACCATTGGTAGAGTTCTAGATGCAGTATTTCAGAGTTGTAGGTCAACACTATTCCATTCAACAGTCAATAAAAGAACTACCAGGGGGCGGGGCCTGAGCTCCATGGCGGCTGGATGCGTTTCACAAGAGCTCCACACCTAACGGGAGAATTAAGTGGGTATTATCTGCTCCTATCTTGTAAGTACCCATTTTATTTTATTATTTTATCTAAAAGTTTCTTATCCAGTGAACACTATTGGCTGTTTCTTTTTATCCGAGTGCTTATCATACCACGGACGGAGGAAACATATCACAGACGAAGGAAATTTACTTCATATCCCATAAGCGGGGAATTAAACCGCTGTACGCCTTTCACACCAGAGTGGGTTCTAGCTCTTTTAAATGTGAGTTTGCATTCCAGATTTATATACTTTTACTTCCTCAACTATCAAACATACTACACTATTTGGCTCTCTGTTTATTTTTTATATCTCTTGTATATGAGCTGATCCACAAGGAAGAAAACAATAAGGACAATTGTTCTGGACCAAGTACTGCCATACAATACGACTCCAACAGACGTCTCTAGATAAGACTCTTTTTATTCACTCATTTTATCTGGACTATTCGTTCCATACTCAGTTTTACTTGGTGCAGACCTTACTTTTATTTCATATTCATAAGCATGTTGGGGAGCACTGAGGCAAGTATTAAATCCTCTATGACAGGGTTCTGTAAAAATAGTGTATAGAAGGCTAGATTGACATGTTGTCAGTACAATGATAATTACTTATATAGTGCCAACAGCGCTGTACAATAGGTAAACAAAACAAACATTTAATTCTAACAAAACACGTAGGACACACGGGAATAGTAGGTGCAGAGGGCCCTGCCCAAACAAGCTAATATCTAAATGGATGGAGAACAAATACATGAGGAATTAAGTGATCAGTATGATCCTGAAGGAAGGGGTGGTGTTCAGGAGCAGGAAGGAGATGGGAGATGGCATAGGAAGGTTGTATGGGATGGGTAGTTAAGGGGCGAGCTGATAGGCTTCTATAAAGAAGTGTGTTTCAGAGAGTTTTAGAAGGACTGCAGAGGCGGTTAGAGTTGGATGTCCTGCGAGTGGGCAGTCTTGGAAAAGTCCTGCAGGTCAGAGTCTGGGACCTGTCACCCATGTGTCAGTTGTCTACCCTACCCTGGTCTGTAAAACGTTATTTGGCAATGCTTTTAGCATTGTGATATCTTAAGGCTGGAGAACCTTCCCAATTAAAAAGTTGGCACCACCAATGTCATTCCCAGCTGTTACTTGTTTGTTTTAGGTTAAATGGCATTAACTGCACTGGTGTGTCTGCATGCTGTAATGTAAATTAATAGTATTTAGACTTACTCTAGGTATGAGGTCTCCCGTTTGAAGATTGCTTTTTAAACATGGATTTATCAATCTCCGAGAGCCAACCATTTACTTGTTTGTAAAAGGTTATATGGTGATGTTATCTGGACCGGGGGTCTGCAGACCCTAGAAAAATGTTATTGCCTATTTTATGCGGATATTATCAGATAACATTTGCTTTGGTTTTTATCTCACACTTAGTAGTTTGAGTCACGGCATCATTTAGTGTCTCCAACAAGTTATACAGAATTTATTATTTTTGGTGTCATATTATAATCAAAAGAGAGTAGGGGTGCTCAATAACTAAATATGGTTGAAGACGTATGCATACAACAGTGCAAGTGGATATAGTTCAAACCAATGCGGTGTTGGCGACTAAGGGCTTTCTTATGGCTAATTTGGGGCTGTACTTCATCAAGTTACCTGTTCAATGTATACATCCCTATATTGTAAAAACACTGAGCCCGATTCAGCAGAGACAAGCTGTATCTGCACAGACAAACAGCGTTTCTGTTATTAGACTTTACCTTAATGGAAATCTTTTTATTTGGCTTTTATCTCCGCTCACTAGACACACATGTTCGATCTGTAGAGAGGTGATTAGCCACAGGTATAGCACTCTGCTGAGCTCCTTTTATCAGTGGGTATCCAAATGAACATAAACACTTTTCTGTGTTCTCATTGAGCACACTAAAGGTGCGGCTTTCTCAAATACATTTTATTCACATGGGAGAAGAAACCTTTATTTTGTAGGAATCAAAAATGATCTCCCTTGACTAAGTGTATAACTTTTGGGAGCTTTGAAATACCAACTGAAGGTAAGCCTTCTTACAAAGTTTTGTTCTCTTTTTTCACGATTTCTTGGTCCAAGCTAAGCCACTCTGCCATTTATAACAGCCAGGAAATAAAAACGACAGTAAGGATGAATGATTTTACACTTACAATATGTAAAGATTTTTTTCAAACAGCAAATAACTGCTGTATGATCATTATGACGGCCTTCCTCCAGATGCACGATTAAATAAGCTCAGCCCGAGATCATTCAACACACAAATCCCAAATAAGTGGATATTCACTGAAGTGAGAATTCAACGCCAAAATGGTCAAACTGGAAAAATGCAGCTCTGCTGTCTCAGTTTGGCTACTCTGGCCTTAAATGTTTCAATGATGTAAGTCACCGTGATAATGGGAGAAAAAGGAGGAGGATTAGGCACTAAAAGCTATGTAAAAGTCTCATTGTTAGTAGGTTTATTTTGGCCCATTTCCAGTTTTTGAAGGCAATTTAAGGCACAATTACAACAGCAAAAAATAAAAAAACAACTAATAAAAGGCAATACACATAGTCTTACCTTTTATCCACGTGTGTATGGTGTGCAGGAGCTGAAACAACATTAGATGCCATTAATATTGATTTAGATTCCTAACTTCCCAATACTGACTGATTCAAATTGTAACAGTAACCCAGTGTTCAGCACGTCCCTGACTAGTGTGGGAATGAGGCATTATTCATTACACAGCACCCACGATGGTTACCCAGGGAGACCTGCAGTAACACAAAGAATCCCCATGGACACCTTGCAGAAAGTAATGCAAGTTAAATACCAGGCAATAAGGATCTTAGGATAAGGTAACTTGGTGCTGTATCAAGAGTTTTCATTTAGCAATTGTTAATCACATTACTGCCATTTATTTTAGTAGAGGGGAAAAAATAAGTAACTTTTAGAGAAGCCCCCACTCCCCCTCCCCCCATAAACAATAAATTATGTACATTTACAGATTTCTCATTAATCTATTCGTGCAGCCTTTATAGAAATACTGGGTGAATAAGCCATTCGAGATAACATATCATATTAGTTTATCTGTTGGACAAGATCAGAGATGGACAGGATAGAAGGATAAGATTGGCGTTACTAACTATATTTTTATTTGTATTGTACACACTGAGGTTAGGAGAGAAAGGGTTAATATGGCAACTCTCCCAAAATGCTAACTGTACACATTGGTGATATTAAGATGAAAAAGAAGATGAGTTACCAGTTAAAGATCTAGAGTTGTTGGAGGTACGGCTTGATGAAAAGGAAACTATAGGACGTGAAGTGATCGCAGCTGGGCTTGGTAATGCAAGCTCTTCATCTTCCTCAGCAAGTGATTCCATCCTCACATTATTTACATCAAGTGCTAAAATAAATTACACACAAGTCATCTTATTATATTAATAATGACAGACCGCAATGGATCGAACACGGCCATTTTGGAAACCTTGCAACACTTTCGCAAATATGTTGAGCATTAGGGAGTTAAAGTGTGTCCCAATTAGATGCACTAGTTTAACATGTAGTAAAATAACAATACAATTCTGCTTTAAAAAGATACTAACCTTTTTCAGAGACTTTAACATCTTTTACATCAGGATCCACTGCAGCTGTGAGGTTTTCAATCGTATTAACCAGCTGTAATGATAATTAAAATAAGTATTACTACATGACAATGAGAAATGTGTTTCTGGTGGTACTGTAGCCCATACCCCCTCCCTTACCAGTTTGTATAAGATTCTGCCTTTTATAAAATGTGTACAAGAGGACTACTGGAAAAAGGTCTCAAAGTTAGATTGTATATGAGGCCTTCATTGAAATTACTCTGTACAGTGAAATGGGATATTTCTTTACAGCGACTGACAAAGCTCGCGATTACAATATAAATAAACCTTACTGAACGGATGTTGTTCACACTTACAAGCTCAGTATTGGCAAAGTCTCTCTCCATGCTGTCTGCCATTTCTTGTAGAGCTGTCAACTGAAAATCCATCTCCTGCAACGTTGAGATAGCGTGATTCTCCCTTGGAATTCTAGATGGCCAAGCTCTTGTGTTGGAATCAACGAATGGAACACGTGTGGGATCCTCAGACAACATCTTGTATGTGACCATGTCTGCTTCACTAGGTATCCTCTCCACCAATCTCGGTCTCTCCATGGGGATGTTAGGAATGAAGCTTCCTTATGAGGAAAAAAAAAATAAGTTTAACGTTAAAGAAATGTTTTCTTTATTAATGTTTTATGGATGATCATAATGTGTACATTTTACTAGATCGATCCTTTTGTAAAACACATTACCTCTGGGCTGATAATTGTCAGGATGTCTAGTATGAGTCTCAGAACCAGCAATGTCGAGAAGATCTGCTGGAGCATCAAGGTGATCAGTCTTCTCAGTCAAAATTTCTGGTCTGTCATAGGTCTTCCCTGAAGGGTCTACGGAAGCTGCTGTCCCTGGCACATCTTCCTCAGTGTCAATCACACTTCTATATTGTTGGACAACCTGGATTAAAGTAAAGTAGAGTAGATTAAATGGTAGAAAGTAGAGGAAATGGTTATATTACGAGTTCACGGTTAAGATGCCCAAACTTCTCCCACTTCCCCTATGTAAATGTACCTTTTGAGGATCAGACACTTGTGGAAAATGTTTTACTTCTAACATTTCCTGGCTTGTATATTTTCATTTAAAATTTTGTTTATTATTTTTGCTATTCATTGGGTGGTAATTTGAATATACAGCAATGCATCTTTATAAAGGAGTTTATGTACGTAAAAGTGCAGTAAAAAAATTAATTAAAACGTTTCAATAAACACTGGGCACTTTCCGGCCAATATCTTCTGTCGGGGGAAGGGTGAGAGAAGGATTCAGGGACTTGCTTATACAGGAATCTAGAACATGGTTCCTTCCCAAATTGTAACACTCCATGTAGATGGTTGGAGATGTGCAGAAACATTAAAAATCATGCATGGTTAGCCAAAGGCCTGCAGTTGGACAACAAAGGTCCATAACAATGTAAAGCAAAGATGATGTGCCTTTCCTTTGTAAATCAATGGTGACCCGGTTTCTTCATTTAAAAGATGAAACACTGAAAAAAATGGTGTTTTAACTAAAATGTCTCGTTCATTTCAGGGCTTTTCTTATATCGGCATCTGCAATACTCAAAGTGTAATATCAGATAAATATTACAAGTTTGAAGGTCTCGGCTTCAGAGTTACAGTGAACCTGTGAATGAGCCGATGATAAGGGCTACATCACCGTATGCAATACATTCAGTATACACTGTATTCATCAGATGTACCCAATTAAAAAAAACGTAAACTCCGCTAAAAATAGGTAAAACCATGATTGAACTCCAAACTCTCCCAGACGGTAGCTACAGTGACCCCTTACAGGATTGTGTGGAAGGTCTGGTTTTGAAGTTGGAGCTGCTTTGTCCTCTGGCTTGTTATTATGGAAACCAAGGTTCAGGAACATCGCTGGTGGCAAGGAATCTGGAGGAATGTCATCCAGTCGGATTTCTAATTGGAGAAAATGGAATGAAAAAAATATCTTGCATGTAACATATTAAAGTGATATGGAGTGATCGTTTTCTATACACTGTGCTAGAAAGAAAATTAGAACAATCATATATATTGATTATATGTGGAACTGGCTTCAGGAAGGGCAACAGTTAAGTGAGCAAAATTGCAATATGATAATCCACTTATTACAATGTTTTTAAAATAATGAGTCCTTGTGCTGGGATGGAATACAAATTTTCAGCTGGTTAACACTGAATGAGGGATCCCAGGAGCAAGTAGCCCCTCTGTGCTGCTCTGGATAATGCTTTAGCATTGCTGAGCACTGTCAGCCAATCACAGCTGCCCGTGGTACAAATTGGTATGGCTAGAGCGTAATCTCCAATTTAACTCCTTTGTTAACTTCAGCAGGTGTTGGCTGTAGACTGCCAGGCAAACTCATTCAGTGTTAACCCATAAAACAGTTTAACGCTGAATTGAAGGATAGCCCCAATGGAGTGTAAGTACGATCACCAATTCAATGAGATGAAGTGTTTATAACACCCACAGTGTCCCTTTAATTGAGCCCTTTTGTATTTCAAGGTGTATGAGAATCCTTGCTATTAAATAAAGCAGATTTCCTGTGAACACAAAGGAGTGGAGGAAGGCACAAATCAATCTAGGTGTAGCTAAATTCACCGAATGAAATAGGTAATAAGAAGCTAGATGGAATAAATGAGAAGTGACTAATTCCCAAGCGTTTCAGATCTCTCATTAACTGGAAAGGTGGAGAATTCACAAACATCGCGCCTAAAATAACCAGAATTGAAAATATACAAAACTTGCCGAATATTTCTCGTTTAGTTACTTTGGTCTAAAATGTAACATTTTTTACATTATTTATGGTTTCACCTACATCTGATTTCAAGGCCAGATTAAAGGACATGGAAACCACGGACTCTTATAAACGAAGAGTCCAACACAACAGTGGGGTTCTGGAGTCATTGCAACAGGCACACGACTATAAACGGACACTGTGTGTTCTCAATATTCAGCAATGATTCTACAGTAAGCAAAGCTTGCGAAACACACCTGCACCGGTATAAGAAGCAGGCAGCGGACTATTAGACAAATCGACAGGTGTAGTCCCTGAATTCTTAAACTGCTTAGTGCGCTCCTTGGAAGCCGTGGCAAGAGAGGCGTTAAAGTCACGCTCTTGAAAAGTAGAAAGCATAAAAGATTATCACACAATGATCTAGCATTAGACAGAAATATAGCCATCACAACAAAGTACTCTTAAAGGGGAACTGTCACTTTCTGTAGTTTTTAATATGTTTAGTTATCCCATGTATTTTACAAATATGTATTTGTGAGATGTGAAAAATAAAATTTAAATATCCACACCTCTTCATCCTGCAACTAGGCAACTCTGACTTAGCTTAATCACAAGTTCTGTTCTTTGCACCTGGCCGTGAGCATGCAGAAAGCATACAGAGTAGAAAAGAAACAATGTTATTTGCATTGTGTGCCCTAAGGTGCCAGGACTGAACTAGATTTTTTTTTCTTTTAATACATATTTAAAAGGAAAAAGAGCACAACATGGAGAAAAAATGTTTATAGCACACGAATGGTGAATTTCAATATGTTATTCAGAGGTGTAATTTTCAAAGAAGTGCCGGTTTCACTCTTTAATGTACAGTACTGCAAACGTATTCATTTTAATATTACTGTATTTGTATACAGTGAGAAGCTGAGTCGCTAATGTTACCAGAATCTGTGTTTGTGCTGGCGTCTCGAATTTCAGGGGCTTTCTTCTGAGTCGATGCCATGTAATGTAACTCTGCAGCTATAGATGGAATCGGATTCCCCGGAATCTCCTTTGACAATAGAGACTCAAATGTACCTGTTAGAAATAGCAGGATACAATACAGGTATATTAGATTATATATTGGCAGATATACCCATTTATTTATTGTGGTATCATTTATTCTATTTGACAAACATTTAATTATATAAATACGCACAATACTATTGACTTCCAGGGTCGTTCACTACAAAAAGAAAGGTTGGCATGGAACAATTCTCAGCTAGATTTTCGGTCACAACTAAATTTTAATTATTACAAGATTTTGTTTTTCTGAATAGAGTGTTTGACCTTTAAAAACAATGGCCAGTGGCCTACTAGAGTGGGGGGGGTGACAGGAATTTGGGGAGAGCACCTGCCCCTTCCCCTCCCAGCAGAGCAGGAAGCTATCATGTGATGGTGCCGCGTAACAGGTTCCTGCTTTACATTTTACTTGTGGTGCTGGCGCAGAGAAAACTGCTGGGATCACTCTGCAATGATCTCCCAGCTCCAGCATGCACCCTGTACGGTTGATGGAGCCAGCATAGGATGTCAACAGTATACAGCTGGAAAATCAGAGTCTACAGAGACTGATCCAAGCTGCACCACAATGGACACCATGAATGAAATTCCACTAAAGCCATCAATATCAAGGAAAGGACATGAAGGCTAGGTGGACCTCACAGCATTAAAAATAAAAATTAAGTGTTTGTGCGCAAACGCGTTTGGATGTTATGAGAGTGTATATGAATAATTGTGTATAATTAGGTGTATAATCTGTATCAAAGTGTATTTCTGTGTATACGTGTTCATGTGTGTATATGAATGCATTTATGTATAAGAATGTAAGTACGTGTGAATGTGTGTGTATACCTTACCTAACAAAAGGAGGTTGAGGGTGGTGCAGAGGGAGACCCCAACATTTGTATTTACAGTTTCCTCCCTGGGTACCATGTAACCTTGTAACTATGTAAACTAGGTAACACTACTTTAGTGAATAACCCTGTTCATTTCTTATTAATTTAATACGTGTATGAGTTCAGGCACAGAGGCCAGTGTTTTGATGCAGTGTTATTTTTTTGGCGGCAAATTCTGATTTAGTTTTAGTTGACGCGACTAAAATCTAACGTGTTTAGTTAAAGCCTCTGTCAAATTTGGCCCTTTCCCAGCCCCTCTGTGCAGTGTTCATTTTGGCGGCAAATTTCAATTTAGTCATAGTCTTTTGACTTAAAAAACATTTTAATTTTAGTCATCTGAATTGTTTTAGTCAACTAAAATTGTTAGTCAACAAAATTAACTAACCAGCAATTCACCATCATACCATTGAACTGTTCTAATGGTCCCACTTTGAATTTTAAAAGGAATTTTAACGGATCTACCTAGGGGAATGACAAAGTCAGAGTCTTCTTCCAATCCAGACTGTTTCTTATCCATGTTCTAGAAAAATAAAACTAGATTCATTATTTTGAACAAAATATTGCAGGGGGATTCTTTGTAGAAATGATGACATGAATGGGAATCGATGGTATCTGCTTTAAAAGGAGACTGAATGAAAATAAAAAATATTAGTTTAAAACTGAGGGAAAAGAAACAAAAAAAAGTACTATTTCTAACCAATATATGCTATGAATTCGGTACAAATTTAGTGGCTTGCATTTCTTAAGCAAGATAGATCCCTCCCGGTACAGTTCTACATGACTCCCACAGATATAACAGTTTGATAAAGATTACTGCCTTTCTATGGTAACTCATGGAGTAAACTCGGCATTTCAGATTATAATATGGAAAAGTAATGCGTTTGGTGGGATACAGGAGAGCAGGTGGAGTCTTTGTAAATCTTTTCTCTAAACATACCTCTGATTGCACAGGGTCATCAAAATTATTGGAGAAAATGATGGAATCTTCTGGACGGAATGTAACAGAAGCTTTCCTCTCTGGTTTGCGGTCTTTCTGTTTAGTGCGTCTCCTCTGCCTGTTAATAATATACAATGTTTGGGTTTTTTATCGTAAGCTAACCCAAAACAAAGAGGTTCATTCACTGAAACAGTCTGTTTATGGTTGAGAAGATAACGGAGAACTTTATACCAAAGAGTAAAAAGAAAATAACTAAAACTCTGCTCTATTTGCTTTGATTTTTTTTCAACGGATTATATAGTGAATAAACCCCATGAATATGCATAAGAAATCAGCACTTTTATTAAATTACATGGCGTCAGACATCTGATCCGGCTACTTCCTGGAATATTTGCTCCGTGGCTAAACTCAAGAGGCAAGCAAATGCCCAAAGATCTTGCAAAGACTTCTCAAACGCTGTGATACAGCTCACTGAGAAGTCTGTGATTGGACAGACAGAGAATGCTGTGGAAGATGGGGAGAGTTTGCAATGGCTGCAGATACCCCCTAAAAAGACCTGGAAAATGTAGGCAAAGACACTTTTGTCTTCATATCAGGCAAGTTAGATGGCTAACCAACTTGAAAAGCCTGGTCTTGGAGTTGAGAAGTGGGATAGTCTAGGCAGCTAGATCAACATACTTCCTTCCCATTTACAAATAGAAGTTTTTGAAAGTGGATAAAAGAGTATTTATTTAATCTTTCTGACTCGGGTCTGTCTCTGCTATGTGCAGAGGATTTGACTGTATGAACTCCTCACCTACCATATGATACAGAGGCCTGCAAGGCTCAATATTACAGTGCTTGACAAAAGAAAAAAAGTCAACAGATGAGGAAAAGGTGCATCTGGGCATATAACAGAGCAGAAACATAGACTTCATTAACAATGCTGCAAAGAGACTGTTGTTACTTTATACGAGGGTAAAGCCAGACAGATATTTATATTATATTCTGCTGCAAGTTTGGGATTCTGCAATCCCCAGAACGGGTGTTAATTCATTCAAAATACTAGGATATTCCTAGTTACTTACCTGAAGAATTCATTTAAGAATGTGTGGACAGTAAATATGCATTAATATGTAAATATAGCTTTGTTACATGCATTTTTCACACCTTCCCATTAGTTACTATACCGTTTAATACTATCTTCTTTGTTCACAACTTGTTTAAAAGGATCATCATCTCCTTTCTTCACAACTTCTTCAAATGGTTTAATGTTTGCCTTCAGTAGCTGTAATGTGTCCTCCGAGGTACCACCGAGGCCTTGGTTTGTGTGGCTTTTTTCAAACATAATCAAGTTCTGTAGTGGTAACAGCTGGGGAGAGGGTCCAATGGGCAAATTCTCAACAACAAAAAAAAGAAAGAAGGAATGTTTATGCAGGTATCTATCTATTGTGAAAACGTATATATGCAAATCAATATGAATAGATAACCTGGCACCTATAACTGCTTAAATCATTCTATACCTGGCACAAAAGCACATTATTATGTAAAGGGGCTGCTACACTAGAGAAAAGGCTTGACCATCATGGGAAATGTAGTTCACAAAGTACACTCAACATTTAACAGTTATCTGCACTCGGCTACCGCCTAGTGTATAAGTGTATAGTGCATTTAGTTTGCATTATGTCACTTAACATCTAGTGTGCGTATACATTCGACTAACATCTAATTGTTTTAAAGAGGATTTAAAAGGGATGTCATTAACTCCTATTTCACCTAACAGAAAGTGGAAAAGAGCCCAAAAAGCTTGTAACGCCAAGAGTGGAGCGTAAAATGGTGGAAATGTGACCACCTACCCTAAATAGGGGTATATCAGAGTATTCCGAACTTGGATGGTATTCCAATCCACTAGGTACCTTGATATCTAATCGATTGGAATACCATCCAAGTTCGGAATACTCTGATATAACCCTATTTAGGGTAGGTGGTCACATTTCCACCATTTTACACTCCACTCTTGAGGTTACAAGCTTTTGGGGCTCTTTTCCCCACTTTCTTTTATGCATGTTTTTGGTGGGTAAGAGGGATTCCCACTAGAGTGTTGTAGCACAATTAAAACAGTGATACTTTTTGTATTTTAAGCGCTTTCATCACATAAACAGTTGTATATATACCTATTTCACCTAACCAACAAGCTAAAACTAAACAAAGAGAAGTTAGCATGATCAGCTATAACTACAGTGTTATGGTATCAGCTATAACCAATTAATAACATGAATTTAATTTGAAGCTGGAAATCACCTGCATGTGTTTATGGTTTTGTAGCAGTGTATTGCCTAGCACTTACCTGTGGCTGCTGAGGTAAGTGTGTTTTAAGCAAAGTTAATGTTGGAGTCATGGCCTGAGACTGTAAGGATTCCGGAGCCCTGGAATCAGGTCCTGTCTGTGATGGGAAATAAGGAATGGGCTTTCTATTCAAATGGAGTAAAGGAATTCCTGCTGGGTTATCCAAAGAAAGCCCATGTGATAAGCTTTTGGGCTTTTGTCCACTCTGTTGGATGTTTGATCTCTGAAGGTGAACTGGATGACCAGCTTGCAAACTCTGATCGTCTGTAGATAGACGTTTTGGAATTCTCACTGCTTCTGCCCACTTCATGTTCTCCTCTGCTTTCCTCAATAGTTTGATGTCATTCTTTGTAACATTTGTATCAGTAGTACAGTTTGCTTTATGAGAACTGTGGGTGATCTTCTGCATTTGTGATGGACCCCAGGCTTCCCTGGGTGGAAGAGGACATTTAGATGATGCAAAATCTTGGGAAAAGTATCTTGGAATTATATTCAGAGGCATGATGCTAGGCTGGGGGTGCAGTTTAAGCAGTGGGAATCCACTGGAAGCAGACATTTGTGCTGAAATAACAGGAACATTAGGACCCACTATAAACGGCAAACTTGGGCTAGGATCTGTACCAAGTAATCCCAGATTTCCTGGAATAGTTTCTTTCTTCATTCCATGGTTTACAAGGATACTCAACTGAGGAAGCTTCTGAGGGCAGAAGGTGAAAAAAAAACCCATTATATTCAAGGATACTTTGATGGTTATAGAGATTATAAAAGTGGACAAGTCTCCCACATATAAAAAAATAAAAAATAAAAAAAAAATTCTACCAAAACAGCCTTAGCTTAATAGAGTGATTTGGTATATAGATCATGCTTGTGTGCCTCACTGCTTAATTATCTGTAATTTAGGAGTTAAATCACTTTGTTCATCCAGCCCTAGCCACAAATCATCTGGCTGTGATACACACAGCCTCCCTATCCACTTCATGAAAAGAGGTCTAATTTTTAAACTTCCCTTACTGCCTTATTAGTCCAATAGACAAGATGATGTATAGATACCCGTCATACCGGATTTGTTTTACCGGCGATTAATAACCCGGACACAAATATACAAAAATACACACACACACACACACACACACACACACTTTATAGATCATGTAAAGATCAAAGGACAATGGTTTAACAAATCTTTTTAAAAACATTTAGAGATATTGATTAATACTAAATGATATAATTAAAGAATCACCACATTCATGCATTTTGACAACCTGTGATACGTTTTCCTTGTTGCTCTCATCATGCAAAGCATTTTGTTCCGTGGCAGCAGCACTGTTGGTAGTTCCTTGGATTGGTTTCTCAGTACAAGCTCCAGTGTTAGGTAGGATTTCGGTGTTTGGGGGAGCCTGGCTACGCACACTGTCCATAGGGATTGGAGACTGGAATGGAAAGGCTGCATGTTCCTGCAGAGGAACATTTACCAATTGGTTTCTCCCAGTGTGGGAGGATTGCTGGAGAATATGCTGCAAGTTAGGCAGAGCAGCAAACGAAGATCCTACAACCTGCATTATGCTCATGAAGTTTATCTGCTGAAGCTGAAGAGACAAAATAAGCACATGGTTACATTTTGAATTAAATCATTTTAGAAAGGATAAAAAGATGACATTGCAATGATAATGACACAGCAATCAAATCTAATTAAACTTTTTTGTTTTTTTTAAATTTAAAATGCCATGTTGGGCATTAGTAATTAGATTTCCCCCCCCTTTCTAAAACTGTATATAAAAAAAAAATAATAATACTGTTCAGTATAATTGTTCATCCTGTAGACTATTTCAGAGGAAGAAATTAAACCATGCATGTGATATACACAGACAGAAAGAGACACTGCAAAGTAAAACACTCTGCATTCTTGTGTAAAAGTCACAAGACCTCATAGAGGAGATACATTTACTAGGCTAGCAATTTGCCTGGTTGTTTTCATTCTTAGATGATGTGCAGAAGAATGGGCACAGTTATAAGCTTGAATCCCAAGTCATGTAGAGAGAGCTGTATTTTCAGCTTTAGAGTAAAGCTGGCAAAAAAAAATAAAAATACTTTAAATAGAACCCATGGAAGTGGATTCAAGCACAAAGCTCAGCTTCTCTTTCTAAAATAAAAGTAATTTTACCGTTATTTGTTTGCTCAATGTTGTAAGAATTTTATAAAATATTTATATTAGGTCTGCGTGTTGTTTTAACAAGCAGGTGAATTTTTAGAATACCGTTCTGCATGGATATTAAGGCCATCCATGCAATTATTTCCTGTAATGAATGGGTAATGAAGCACAGATCACTTCTTTGCAGTTTAGGAGCCCTGATCTCAAACAGAATAGGGCATACTAGCACCAATCTGAATGGGATTAATGGGTGTTACACTCCAAAGTCGTACCTGCTGCCATTTAAATGACGGCAGTCAAAATAGCTGCCGCCTGTGAAGATATCTTCCACTAATCTCATGTAGCACTAGGATATATATATATACCAAAAATATCATGTAATACAGAAGATACATAATGTATAATGGAAAATGAATGTGTTTCTGCACACACCAAAACACATCAGCATATGTATCTGAAATTGCTACCTGCAGGAGCCTAAACATTTCATCTTGGAATAACTGTCTAACAGCTTCAGAGGTGTTCACGGGTTGAGTGCTCGGCTCTCCATGAGAATCCTGGGCTTCGGTGCTGGTGGTGCCACTGGGCATGACGTTTGCTGTACTGGATGCTGGCTGGAGCACAGAAGGCATGTCACAATCAACGATGTCTGGGTCAACATTCCTAATGTAGTGAATGAAGAAATATTAATTTCATACTCCGATCCAAAAGGTTTTAGAGAAAGTGAAATCGTTTAGGAGAGATATTTCACATGAGCAAACCATAATTTCACAAGGCTATGGCATTTGTGAGTTGGGAAACTAATCAAATAGAGGGGGTGAAGTGTATACAAAGCTACATACATTATAAGAACAATTATTTCAGGTGCAGTGAACATGGAGGGTTTTAGTTAATGGGACTCTCCAGTGCCAGGAAAACATATCCATTTTCCTGGCACTGCAGGTTCCTGTAGTGTCCCTCTCCCTCCCACCCCCCATCCTATGTTGCTGAAGGGGTTAAAACCCCTTCAGTGACTTACTGGAATCCAGCGCAGATGTCCCTGGGTCAGGCTTCGCCCACATTCCTCCCCCGCTGACGTCAGCCGGCAGGGGTGGCCTAATGCACTACGCGGCAATATCTGCGCGCACATGCATTAGACCTCCCCCATAGGAAAGCATTATTCAATGCTTTCCTACGGGGATTCCGGCAACGCTGGAGGTCCTCATGCATAGCGGAGAACCCGGAAGTCCCTCTAGTGGCTGTCTCCAATGGGCAGAAGTGGTCTGGGTACCTGGAGTGTCCCTTTAATTATTTTGAAATTTAAATCTTTTAATATTGGTTTTCAGTCGGTATAGCACAGGGACTCAGAATAACTACTGTAGCCAATTGGTAAAAAAGTTCTGCAAAAATAACCCCACAACGAATGACCATAGCATGCTGTGCTTGCATGTCAAGAGTCAAGCTTGCTGACTTCAAAAAGGTAGACGGGAAAGGAAATATACAACACACTGGTACACAGTTATATCCATGCCCAGTGGAACCTGCTATGCATGGAACTTTAAGTATGATTCACTGAACTAAAATAATGTAATAGAATAAAAATAGCCAAAAGTAGGAATCAAATGTGTACCATGCGACTACTAAATATTTTCTATTTTTTGTAGAAATACACAGTATATGAAATATATTAAAAAAAGGGCAGTGTACTGGGCCACACACCTAAATGCACATATCTTGCAATACATTACATACAATAAACATTTGCATATAAATGATTCTGTCAACAAAAAACACACAGGGTACTCTGCAATCCCCCTGTTCCTTCCCATATTAGGCTCTAAGTCTGCGTTTTTCTCTGCAAACTTTGCTAGCACTGCATTAATAGTAATTTGTAGTTTTCACAATGTTCCCCATGGCGATGTCGTACTGTAAAATATATTATCAGGTGTTCTGGTTTTATTCCTCGTAAGTTAGCCCTTAATTTGTTCACAGGTTTCAAAGAATGCAGACACTGATTTCTGGTGGTCCCTCTCCTTAAATAATATGACATGGTTTACCTTGATGCTCTCCGTGTGCATCTGTACCAGTAGCCCACTTCAATCTGTGATCTTCACTTATAATGGAACCAGATTCTACAGTAAATCTACCATTAACAAAGGGCACATAACGAAAGCCAGACACTCACAGCCACTGACTGTTTATGTTAGGTCTCCAGGGTAATAATTGCTTGCAGCATGTTAAGGTGTGGAGAGGCATTTGTTTGTTTAAGTTAACCGGTAGACCTACATCCAAACGGTATATACTCTAGTGTGTAATACTACAAATGGAATTAAAACCTGATATCTTAACATTTGGGGGGGATAGGAGGGGGAGGACAGGGAAGCAAACTATAAAAATACTAAAAAAAAAAAAGCCAAAAACTTTTCTCTATGTCATCGGCTTCAGAATATAAACCTGTGACTACAGAGGAAAATGACTTCAGTGTGAATGCATGTGTGCAAATACAGACATGTGCATGCAAAGGAATGGAAAAGTGCTGAAAACGATGTATTAAAGTAGAAAAAAGCTAAATAGCCAATCCAGTGTGCCATTCCTAGCTCAGAAAACATTTCTGATTCTTGATGCAGTTTCCTACTTGGACAGTGTCCATGCTTCATTGAACTCTATTAAACTTTATATCCCTCTACTCGTGGTCTATTCCATGTATCTACAACTCTTTCTGTATTAAGAAAAAAATGTATTTCTTGTAACGGTCTATCAAATTCCTCAAACACTTATGCCATGTTCTTTTGCTCTTGCTTACGTTTTTCATCAAAATAGATCAACCCTTTTTTATTTTGTTGACAGAGTTTCCATGACTTTATCCCGCTTTGTCCTTTGCTCCAAGTGGTACATGTTTAGAGAATAAACACACAGACATGCACTCCAACTGTAGTATTAATAAATACCTAAAAAGTCTGCCACACATCATTTGTGAAAGAATCTTGGGAATTGTAGTTGTGTTTGGAGCAGATGACAAGTTCTACAAACAGCAGTGACGTGTACTTTATTTTGGAAATAAATGGTCGTTTTTGCTGAAATATAGATCTTCAATGATTAAGAAATCTTGACGCTACATTGGACACGAGGCATTTTAAGGATGTGCTAGGGAATAACAGCTTAAAATAATGACATAGCAGTTTCTTAATGAGAGCACAGCCATCCATAGGAAAGCATTATGAATGCTTTCTATGTGACCGCTGAATGCGTGTAGCAGCTCTTGCCGCGCGGCGCATTCAGCCGACGGGAGGAGAAGAGGAGGATCGGAGGAGGAGAGCTCTCCCCAGCTGGAAAAAGGTAAGTTTTAACCCCTTTCCCCCTTCCAGAGCCGGGCGGGAGGGGGTCCCTGAGGGTGGGGGCACCCTCAGGGCACTATAGTGCCAGGAAAACAAGTATGTTTTCCTGGCACTATAGTGGTCCTTTAATATTAAAATATTTATCGTAGAACCGTAGAAAAATAATTTTACTCACTTGTCAACAATGGCTGTTTCCAGAATCTCTGGTTCTCCAGGATCTGGTGTGTTTGGAGAAGATTTGGTGGCCAGTTTCTAAACAGTAAAAAGAAGATACAACTCAATTTAACATCCACAGACATGTATCAAATGATAACACCCCCATCCAAAAAAAGTTACTTGTTCACCATCCCAAATCCCTATGCACATTTAAATAATTGGACATCTTTTAGTATTTCAATGGCCACTAAAGTGGAAGCTCACATGCCTTATCAAGGCAAAAACTAACAATTCACCTTGCGGTCTTCAGCGAAAAGGTAAAAATCTATAATGAGATTTGGGATAGTGCACAAGTAAATTTTGGGGGGTTTTATTCTATGTACGTGTACCATTGCAATGGCTTCCGCCCAGGAGTAGTGGAGGTTTGAGCACAGGGCTTAATTTTGTGTATGTATTGAATAATAATCCTCTTTGATTAAAAAAATATATTTATACCAGGCTGCAATACAGAAGTAAAGGAAGATGTAATCAGGAATTGAACTACAAGAATAATCCTGTAACATAGAAACATAGAATGTGACGGCAGATAAGAACCATCCGGCCCATCTAGTCTGCCCAATTTTCTAAATACTTTCATTGGTCCCTGTCCTTATCTTATAGTTAGGATAGCCTTATGCCTATCCCACGCATGCTTAAACTCCTTTACTGTGTTAACCTCTACCACTTCAGCTGGAAGGCTATTCCATGCATCCACTACCCTCTCAGTAAAGTAGTACTTCCTGGTATTATTTTTAAACTGTTGACCCTCTTATTTAAGACTATGTCCTCTTGTTGTGGTAGTTTTTCTTCTTTTAAATATAGTCTCCTCCTTTACTGTGTTGATTCCCTTTATGTATTTAAATGTTTCTATCATATCCCCCCTGTATATTAGCATTTCTTCTTAGGGGTTGCTACTCTTACCTAGTTCACTGCTAACGTGTGTCTACAGCTTGACTGTCTAACTACTATCAGGTTTTCTGATGAAGTTGAGTGTGACAGACACTGACAATTGAGTTTCTATCTCCATTAATCATTTCCTCTGGTGAGGACCTAGAATCTAGCTCCATAAACTACTAGCGCATGCACTAGCAATCTACATCTGAACACGCATAGAGCTACATTTCTATTGCAGAGTGTTCCATTTTGACATATTGATTTTGATAGGATCTGCATAGATACAGCACACTTTAGCCTTTACGTTAGGCTGCAATGAACGGCAATAACATAGATCAAAGGTTTTCAACCAGTATGCCGTGTCACATTGGTGTGTTGAAGGCCAGCCAGAAATGTGCCACAAACAAGCTGACCTAAGTGATGTAATAGGTTAGAAAAAATAAATAAAAGTTCATATAGAGCTGTGCATATAGAGCTTCTCTAGTAGGACTGCATGTAAACGTGACTTTTATAACTCTATGATTAAGGTAAAATATAAATAAAAAAACAAAAACAGTAGGTGTGCTTCATTTCTTTAAAGTGTGCCTTGGATCAAAACAGATTGGACACCACCAACATAGATTAGACTTGCGGGTATAAGAGCAAATAGCCCAACACTCCCATCTTGTGGTAGAAAATAGGTAAAGCTTCAGAAAGTTCTAACCATTTGTCATTTAAAGGACTACTTTAAGTACCATAATCCCTACAGCCTGCTACAGTGATTATGGTGCCAGCAGTGAACCGAAACTCTCCCAGTGTGAGTATTTAAACTATTTTCAATAAATAACAATTACATATTATCAGACTCCTGTCTCCTTGGCATGCTGTTTAACACTCTTCGGTGGCATTTGTTAGTAGACTTTGGGGTAAGTCTGATCCCTGTGGAGAGCACTGCGCTAAAGTGTGCGCTGGTCAGTAAAGTACTCATTGAGCCTCCAGCTGTTGCCTTTTGATGTAAGCATGCAATTACGTGAGATCTTCCTTTAGACTAACTTGAACAGATCATAAAGAAATAATAAAACCGTATGCTGAGAGACAACTGCACAAACACACATTCTACTAACAGTTAATGTTGTACAGTATAAAATGATAACAATCAGGGCTTACTGATATCTGCTGAGTTAAGGATCTTATACTGACGGAGATGCTGGGAATTATTTCTGTGTTCAGTTGATCTTCCTGGTCATCTGTAAAGACAATAGATCAAAAAAAACTTTTCTATTAATAAATAAGTGTAAAGGAGACAAGGTGTAAATAAGTGCCCGTGTAAAGAAGCACTCATAACGTGCTGATAATAATAGCCTACTCTAATATTTTCAGTCTTGAAATAACCTTCAAAATGGCAGTCAAGGTTCTGTTGCTATGGGGGACTTTTCAAAACATTTTTTTGTTATCTTGCTGATGTGCCTCGTCTCATCCAAGCCATCTCTCCCCATGTTCTTCCCTCTCCTCAGCCATGTCACTTCCCTCCAAGTCCACCTTGTTTATCAATAAACCTCTTCTCTCCCTATCAAACATCTTCCCCATTTTCAGAACCCGCCTGTTTTCGGTGCTCCTTCCTCTTTCATTGTACCCCACTTCAGTTTCTCCCATTCCTGTTATGTACTCCCTCTTTTTCAGTGCCTCCCCATATCCTTCATTGAAAATTTTCTCTTTTTAGTAGCGCTCTTCTCCCCCTACCCTCTACACCTGTTACATTACCACTTGTAGTTTCTCATGAGACGCCCTCTTTTTTACTAGTGGGCCAAAATTATTTAAGGAGAAAAAAACTAAACAAACATACTTCATAACATCAAACATTGGTGGATGACCTTTAGTCTTCCGACCTACATTGTGCATCAACAGGTGCCATTTGAACCCACGAGACGTAAACATATTTAAAAATAATAGATATAACCCAGATAATATTAATAATAATAATAATAATAATAATAATAAATTGCAGTTCTACAATATATGGGATATACAATTTGCCCAGCCCTACTGTAGCACAGACATATGATAACAATTCAATACTACAATAATTACATTAAACAAACCTTCTGTGTCTGATGGGATTTTAACATTTACTTTCTCGCTGGGATCAGCAATAGCTTGTGGTGAAGCAGAATAATCTGCAGTCATTTCTTTGATGGACATAGAATAATCTCCTCTGCAAGACACAAAATAAATAAAATCAGCGTATACATCGTAAGAGCAGCCACAATCACAGCTTTAGGGTTTTCTAGATTTGCCCATGCAGTCTAGAGCTAGATTACTGCTAGAATAAATTATTTGAAACATTTAAAAAAGACTGTGTCATGGTATAGTTCTACTAGAAGCTATTTTTTATAATATTCCCTATATTTTGCAAGTCCCACAAGACTAAAAAAAAAAAAATGTATACAGGGTTATTTACTAAAGTGAGAATTATCAAAAATTCTAAATTTATGGCCACGGTAGCTGAACCGTAAAATTCCGCTAAGCTTCCAGTAACGCAAAATGGGACTTAAATTTGAAATTCACATTGAATTCCTGGCATTTTTTACTTTAGTAAACAACTGAAGAGAGCAGCGAAAGATAAGGCAGAAGCCAAGCAAGGAAGGAAGAAAAGAATAAATAATGTGACCTAGAAATACTTGCAAAGTATTTGTTATTTTGAATAGCTGCTTCAAAAGATGGTTAAAATGTCTGCAAGCTTGGCACTATACTTACGCAGACAGGTTTTCGTCTGGTTGTGTATATTCTGTGATGTCTGTGAGTGTTCCACTCTCTGATCCTGCATCGCCAGCATCCATTCTGCCCATTCTCTGCAAAATATGCTTCATCTGTGGCTGGGAAACGGGAGCTACAATGTATTCCCTCAATGGAAGCTGAAAGGGGGAGGAAATGGCACAGTTAGTTATCACACGTAAAGACTATGTAATTGTTTATGCAAAGATCTATACTTAATGCAAACTATCTCCACCTGCCAGTCTGAATTGGCAAGGGATGAAACATATGTTAAAATGGAAACAGCGTGCCAAAACATTATGACATTTTAAATCTAAATCTAAAATATCAATCTGACATGAAATCGATTGTAAGGAGAATGAAATGAGATGGTCACAGGAAGGGGATTGTGTTCTTTCAACTAGAGGAATACACAAAGACTCAACATCTTTTCAGATTAACTCCTTTATGGTTCTTTGTGAGTAGAATATAGAATATATACTGGAGAACATATCACCGAGAAGCCAGCGACAGTGATACGATGGGGACAGATGCTGATGGCACAAACGTGGTTTGTGCACGGTTCATGGGGAACCGCCAATCCTTATCCACAACATATAAAGGTTAGATTAACATGCTATATGAACTAGGATGCAATACTCTCGAATAATCATAAGTACATACAAAAGCTTATATACTAAAGTGAGAGTTCAAAGTGAATTTTACATTTAAGGTCAAGATCGCTGCGTTGAAAACATTCTCTAAGTCAGCTTAGTTACTTTGGCATGAAATGTCAAACGAAATTGGATTTGAATTTTGGCACTGAAAACCTGACAGTGTTTGGGATGTAAAAGCTTGATTAAATAACATTTATACCAAATGCTGGATGTGCTTCCAAGAAATTAAGAAACTTGAATTGTACCCCGCCTTGTGTAGCCTGTTATTCTAACATCAATCAGAGATATGGAGTCAGCTCAAACAAGGAACAATGCAAGTCTATGCTTTCCTATGCAGTCTATTCAGGTGCCCACTTCACCCACACTATGGCATCAAGCCCTCCAGTTCTTTAGGTTACATTTCCACATAAACAAAAAAAGTGTATTGCAAAAAAATAAATAAAAAATAAGTATGTGAAATGTTAAAACAAAAACAAAAAAATCCCCAAAAACATAAAATTTAAAAATTCCACTCGGATTTATTAGGATTATTCATCTGGTTTACAAATTAACCTTTACCTTGCATGTGTTTTCACTTTGTACACTTCCGATGTAGGGTTTTTCTAAAAGCCATATTGATGTAAGAATAGCAGCTGATGAGGTTTTAACCCGTATTGCTGTGCTCTGTGGCTGGCATGGTTCCATTTTGCCTGCTGTCCAGAAGAGCCTCTTGTCTGACCACCTGACCATCCATTCCACCAGCTTGGCTTCATTGCTAAACTTTGCCTGCAGTTCCATCCCAAGCTCTTCACTTGGCAAACAGCTCCTGGTCTGAATTACCTTGTACTTGTACTGATCGTGTGTACACAGCAGGTTTTTCTTAGCAGACAGATTTCCATCATCATCATCATCATTTTGTTTCTTTGCTTTCTGAGCATTTAAACCAAAAAGTCCACTTTTTGACACATTTCCAGTTTTACCTTTGAAAAGAGATTTGTAAGTGGAAACCTCTGGCTTTTTGATGACAACAGTCAAAGCTACATTAGGATTCAAATCAGCTGGGACTTGGCTTTGGTGTAATGTCTCCTTTAAAAGAGCGCAATCACTGCAGGGATCAGAATTAAGGTTGTAACAAGAACCAGCTCGGAAAACACTCTGGATTCTGGCTTTGCCCAGTTTACGCTTCAGAGTCGTGTGAACATCAAACACAAGAGAGTTCAGTTCCTGTTCTCGAAGATGATGGGAGAACGTGGTCAGGAAGGGAATTCCGGGCTCTTTGTAATGCACTAGATCTTTCTCCAGCAGGTAACTCAGGAATATTTCCAAAAAACTGGTGTATTCTTCGTCGTCTCTCTCAAACTCCCAGGTACCAACAGAGGGCAGGGCATGTTGATTTTCAATTGATACATCAGGCTTTTGACCAGCAGGGTCATTTACTGAAGTCCTTGCATTCAGATTATGCACATATTCTTCACCTGTTCTACAAAACAAAACAAAAAAAATGGCACAGAGTAAAACATTAATCTGTTATAATAATTTTAAGAAATAATTAATTTAATAAATATATTTTAAAATTGATTCAAATGATAAATTCCATACAATTATAGGCAGCAGAATTATTATCGGGATTACCAAGTGTCAGTTTAATGGATTGTACAAGATTGTATTGTATTTAAAATGTATTTTCTTTATGTTATTCCTTTACTAAAATCTTTTAACAAGCCATTCAAGTAGAACACAGTTTATAATAAGAGTAGGACTTGCCAAGAATGGGGTACATCGGCATTGTGGCAGTCTTAAGCAATGTATGATCATATATTGTAACTAAACCCCCATTATTTTTGCCTAAGTGAGGTGTTTTGAAATAAAAACTATTACGTTCTGTAAGCCTTGCAATTACTGTTTAGCAAATGAGTAAGTGTGCTGGATCGTGTATGTTATTTATATATATTTCAAACTATAGCATGATATTTTCTTCACAGGATTTTTAAGGTTTGCAGGCAGAATAAGCCTTGGTGCTACCTCTCATTTGTGTCTTTAGACATCAAAGGTTCAGATAACGTGTCCAATTCGCTGTAAACTTGGGACCTTCCAAAATCAGTCAAGGTGCTCCTGCTTAGACTGGTACCCAGAGAATATTTGTCATAGCATAACGATTCTTCATCAAAAGTCTCTCCAAGAGCAGACTCCCATAAGTGCATCTCCATGGGTCCAATGTTTCTTTGCACACGTCGGAGGGCTTTAACATGCACATTCTGCACATTGTGAATCATAACAGACATCATTTCTTCTCCATCAGGTCCTGTTACAAACAAAGCACATATCTGTTATATTTCATAAGCAGATTTACTCACACACAGAAAGTCTGAGATAGCCCATGGATGCAGCACAATGGGATATGACCCTGGATTAGCTAAAATAAAGTTTTTATTGGACTAAGATTACATTTTCAAGACTACATGAAAGTTTAAAGGCAGATTTTCTAGAAGTAGAATACATATTACAAAGGTTCATTTTCTCATGGTAGCATTTATCTGTTTTGCATTAAACATTGTGAACAAAGCATCCTTGTAAGGTTCCACGTACAAAGGGATTTGAATGCGATGCATTGTTCTGAGGTCAGTCCCAGGACGGACTATGAAAAATTGCAGGAATACAAAACCTTTAGAAAGGTTACCTTTAATCACAGAGTGCCTGAGACGCTGCTGAACAGAATGATACTTCTCCCTTAATGGTACACGAACAACATCAGGATGGGGGAAGGCTTTCACCAAGATTTCTGCCACCTACAAAAAAAATGTAATTTAAAAAAAAAATAATAATAACATGTCTAGCAAAGATCAATAGTATATGTGCATAAAACATTAACAAAAGTCTGTGATAATATTTACGGCTGAAAAATACGCCAAATACAGATGACATTTACTGAAATGACAAATATTTTTAAGAGGCTCTAAATTTAGGCCACATCCGAACACAGAAATGCTGTCAGACGACATGCATGACAGCTTACTTTAAGTTGCTGTAAATTGCCCATGCATTCACTAGGCGGCTAGACCACTGCATATCATCAGCAGACTGGGTTATCTAGAAGTATGTGAGCCAGAATGCAAATATGAATATTGGCACTATATGTTTTAGTGATCCATCCATATGATTATTGAGAAATGAAGGATATGGTTACAAAATTATTTGATTTATTGTTCTTTATTATTCTTATTTTTGTAACTTTGACTCATACTCTGTATTAATATTTAGTAAAGTTAGGCAATTTTCATGGTTCAGTCCCTTTATCCATAGAATGGACAGTGGGTTGTACGTTTTGATGTCACTGTTAATATGTCCTACCTTCTTCACCGGAGGCAACTCGCTAACCAGACTCAGAATGATGTCCTGTATCAGCTCCTCACAATTACTAACTCGGGTGAAAGGCAGCATTCGGCATGCCCAATCCAGTGCCTCAAAACAGCACTCCGTTACACACGGATCACATTCATCTGAACTCTGACAAGGAAAGACTATTGTTTAGTGGGACTGAAAAACTCAGATCTTTAAATGTATCCATAGAACAATATGCAACAAATAAAGCTTTAAAAAAAAGAGCATGCAAAAAAAAAAAAAAAAAATTAGCAGAGCCTCACTGCATCCAACTCAGGGAACAGATGCTAAGCAGGTTAGAGAGACTCTTAACACCCAGAAGTAAAGTTAGATTTGAGGACGCTAAACTTGCTAATGCCAAGTGTATCCAAAGCTCTTAATGTTTTTATTATGAAACTTAAGTCTCGATTTGATTAGTTGATCACTTTTATTGGCAGTTTTTCTGTTCCCGATAAGCTACCTACCAGTTCGATACGACTAAATAACCACCGTTAAATGCTTATCAGAAGCCAATAATCATCAGTTCGAATTTCTAAACCGATAGCTGTGCTTTACATTGAAAATACCAGATGAGATGATTTAATTCTATTTGTCAGGCACATAATCCCCAATAAATAGCCCCATCCCATTCAACAGCTAGAAGTAGTTGATGAATGCTTTGACTATTTGTGTGCTAGTAGCACCAGCAGCCAGTGGGCAAATGGTTAACAAAAACTTATGAGGGTCAATATGACCCTTGCATTAATATAAGTGAGGTTTTAAACAAGCAAGTCTACAATGTAGTTCAAAAAACTATCGAAAAGGTCACAATCAGCAACCAAAAGCTACGATATTGAAGCAATTACCGTCATCAACACCAGGATCAGTACATTACCTTTAGCAACCTCTTACCTTAAACAGCTTGCCATTGTCCCTTGCTTTCTGGTATTGTCTACAGGTGTAAGACAGTCTCTCACGTACATGAAGCATCCAGCATAATGCACAAAGCTCTCGAAAGCTACCTGCCAGATAAAAACCCTGTCATTAATGCTGTGAGCAAGGTGGCAAACTTCTGTCCTGCCCTAGAGAATGTGAGCGGTGAATAGACCACTAAAACATAGTAATAGTGCTTTTTGAAACAGATACTGAAAAGAAGCAAAAAATGAGACTTATTGTATTAAAATTTGTAGCATTTAAGCAAAATAGTAGTGGTGTGTGAAAAAAAAAAAAAAAAAAGTCGAAGAACACATACCAGAGAGTACTGCTCTAATACTATGCCACATTAATACAATGTGCTACAAGCATTGCAGTTTTTTTTCAGTGATGGAAAAAAGCAAACATCAAGCACACCTGTAACACTAGAAGAAACAAGGTCGCTGGTTGCCCCGGGTTTAAAAAACGATGAGCAGCTATTAGAGTAATTCAGGAGCGTTTCTGGCAGCGGATTCAAAGGTGTCAATGAGGCTTTGGCTCTAATCTAGAGAGAAAGAAAAAAATGGGCATATAAAAAGAAATTATTTATAGAAATCATTTAAAATGACCCTCCACTTGGTTTAACGCACTAAAATAATTATGCAAAACAAAAACATATAAAATGTACGCGCGTGGCACAAAGTGTGTGTGCAGAAGATCGTCATAACATTATATACCCACATACACAACATTTGTTATGTTTCTGTAGATTTCAACACCTTCTAATGGACAGAACTGAAGTGAAAAAGAAAGTCGTATTACTCATTGATCTAGAATTAAAATAGGATAATTCTTTAGTTGTTTAACACATTTTTCAATGGACTATCACAATTTTGGAACAAGCTTCTGGGTGATCCTCTCTTTATCAATGCTTTAGACTTGATGAAGGCAGGATATTCTGACAGCTTGTCCTTCCAAAATTAGAATAAAATGTTATTACAATATAGTACGATTATTTGTTGTTTTACTATTGGAAAGAATGTTAAACAAGAATATGGTCATGAGAGATTGTGCCGACTTGAAGGAAAGTATTATTGTGTATTAATATTATTATCATCGGTATTTATATAGTGCAAATTATTGCACAGCAGTTTACAATATTAACAGGAATTTAACAAAACATGGAACATATTACACATTTTTCCAGGAACAATAGGTCGATGAGGACCCTTTTCAGATGAATTTATAACCTAGAGGTAATATCCATGGATTGTTAACGACATTCAGCAGTAAAGCAGAAGTTAAGCACCAAGTCTTTTTTCACTTTTCAAAACCTTGACAACAATTAAATAAAGCAGGTAAGTTGTCTTAAATTAAGCCTTAGCATGTACATGTGGAGGGTCTATTTAAATTCTAAACATTTATTTATTGTAAAGTTTTATCAATCAAGTTCTGTCAATTAATAAAGGGATAACATGAGAAGAATGAGTTTACTAGGAGCAGGTTACCAGTGAGGACATAGTTTGACTACAAAAACAAACAAGCAATCCACATCCCTAGTACCTTCTGCATGATTTTCTGTGTTCGCTTTATCTGTTTGATGTACCATTGTGCTGCTGGTAGGGAGCAGCGAGCAGCACGTAGCAGGATAAGAATTCGCTGGAGGACACCGGACAGCTTCTGGCGACTGCGCTTCTCTGCTTCCAAAAGAAAGTCACTGGGATCCTCCTACAACAACATATAAACAACTAGGAGATCACACAGATAGAAACACAGCAAAACATACTATTTTAAATGGGTTGTGAGATGTTCTGTGGAGTTGCACGTAATTGAAAACACACACAGATTATGAAGCACATCCTATTACTCGGGATCGGCAAGAAGCATGTTCAGTACAGAATAAATGGAGACAGACAGGTGAACACACATACACAATGCTCACAGTTTGCACATATGCCTCTACTTAAAGTGTGCACCATCATAAAGATCTATTCTGGATTTCTCAGGGGTAAAAAAACAAAAACAAAAAAACAACGCTTAGAAATGATGGCTCCCAAGAACTCCACGGAGTTCAGTAACTGCAAATTTGCTATTCCCTATCTATGCCACCACTGTTAACTCATCTACTACCACACATATACGCCATTATTAAAAGGAACACTATAGTCACCTAAATTACTTTAGCTAAATAAAGCAGTTTTAGTGTATAGATCATTCCCCTGCAATTTCACTGCTCAATTCACTGTCATTTAGGAGTTAAATCACTTTGTTTCTGTTTATGCAGCCCTAGCCACTAGCCCTAGCCACACCTCCCCTGGCTATGATTGCATGAAAAAAAAAAACTGGTTTCACGTTCAAACAGATGTAATTTACCTTAAATAATTGTATCTCAATCTCTAAATTGAACTTTAATCACATACAGGAGGCTCTAGCAGAGGATAAGAAAATCTTAATTAAACAGAACTTGCAATAAAGAAAGCCTAAATAGGGCTCTCTTTACAGGAAGTGTTTATGGAAGGCTGTGCAAGTCACATGCAGGGAGGTGTGACTAGGGTTCATAAACAAAGGGATTTAACTCCTAAATGGCAGAGGATTGAGCAGTGAGGCTGCAGGGGCATGTTCTATACACCAAAACTGCTTCATTAAGCTAAAGTTGTTCAGGTGACTATAGTGTCCCTTTAAAAGAAAGAAATGTAAGGTACACCATGCCTATTGTTTTCTTTAATGTACTTTTACTGTTATTATTACTACTACTACTACTACTACTACAGGTATTTATATAGCGTCAAAATATTCCGTAGTGCTTTACAATATTATCAAAGGGGGAGATTTAACAATAAATGAGGCAGTTACAAAAACTTACAGATACAAGAGGGCCCTGCTCAAACCACCTTACAGTCTATAGGAAGTGGGGTGTAAAACCCAACAGGGCAGGAGGTAGCAATCAATCAAACATCTGTTCAATATGAAAAATGTGGTGATTCAACTTCATTGATTCGAATATAAAGTACCTACTGTGAACCCGGTTATATGCCTTAAAGTGGCACTGTCATGCCGAATTCTGTTTTTTTTTTAACCCCTCTCCCGCCTCCACTACATCCAATTGACTCACTAGTCACCCCCAAATGCCCCTAAGCCCCCAGCATTACCTATTTTTTAATCCTTATTTTCTGCCCCGATCTATATTCAGGGCGCAGCCATCTTTGTGTGGGTAGGTGAAGTCCCTGTGGGACACGTCATCAGCCCACACTAGGCAGACTGTTAGATTCCCGCACATGCCCAGTGAAACACCTGGACATGCGAACGGGAATTTCATCTATTCATTCATTCATCAGACAGACGAATGAGTGAATAGAAATATCAGCCGAACAAACAAACACTATGTATCAGTGTATGTTTGTTCGTGCAGTTTATTACAAGGAGGGAGCTACCGGCGTGCAGCTCCCTCCTTGTAATATGTAAAGATAGAAGCGGCAGGGAGCAGTGCTCCCCACCACTTCATAAGCCCCCCCAGGTCCCCCTCTCACTCTATGGGGGTCAATATGACCCCCATAATAGCACAAGGGAGATTAAAATCTCCCAAATGCCCGTACTCGCTATACCGCGAGTAGGGGCATGTCCACTAAACAGTGAGCAGCCTGTGGCTGCTCACTGTAAAAAAAACAAAAAACAACAACTATTGGCCCCCACCCCTAAACAGTGAGAATGAGGGGGGGGGGGGCAAAAATGAAGGGGGGCGGTACCTGCCCCCAGCCCCCTAGGCTGGTGGGGGCCATAGTGAGAATGAGGGGGACCACTGTCCTCCCCCCACCCTGGGCGGTGGGGGCCCTAAGTCAATTACCCCCAAGGTGACTAGGGGTCCCCAAGCCCCTAGTCACCCACCCCCACCCAAAAAAAAAAAGTCCCTACCTACCCCCCTCACCCTAAAAAATAGTGAGGGGGGATAAAATAACTAACCTGTAAAATAAAATTAAACTTACCATTCGACGTCTTCTTTTTTCTCAAATCTTCTTTTTCAGCCCCAAAAAAGGCCAAATAAAAAACCATCATAACCGTCGAATTGAAAATAAAATAAAAATCGGCCAAAAAAAACAGACGAAAAAAAAAAACACGAGCGCAAAAAAATAATCCATCTTCACCCATGGAGGGCTCCGCACAGACTGAGCTCCGCAGGGCGGGGGAAGGCTTATAAAGCCTTGCCCCACCCTGCAATTAGGCTAAGAACACTCTGATTGGTGGGTTTAAGCCAATCAGAGTGCTCTTTGTCATTTTACACAGCGTGGGAAAATCAAAAGAACTTTCCCACGCTGTGTAAAATGACAAATAACACTGAGTCCCTACTTTGTCTTATGATTTTAAAGAAAACTAAAGAAGACAGGAAGAAAAGAATAACCGATCCTGAGAGAGGGGGAGAAGAGGAAGAGATTGAGGAAAGGTAAGTTCGGCATGACAGTGCCGCTTTAACTACGTAGGCTTTGTATGCAATGCTACAATTTTGTACTTTATTTCCATTTTCTTTTTTTCGGGGTGGAGGTAGGGGTACATAAAAGAAGTGGGGTCGGGTGAGGGATTAAAAACATTAATATTGCGAGTCAGAATTTTTCACAGTATTTTTCATGGTAATAACAGTGAAGAGAGAATTCCAATCCCTTGATTTGCGTAAACAGGAACTTAACGTGTGATTCTGTGAATTAGTCGTGTGTATAAAATGAAAATATAGAATTGCTTACATTATAATCTGGAGCATCGGTTGGGTGTTTCTTCTTGCCCGTAGAAATTCAGGCTTTCGTGTGTCTCGTGGGTGTGACTGTGTCCGTCGTCTTGTATTTGTATGCTTTTCTTGTGATTTGTCGTCGCTGTCCTGTTTCATATGTTGTTTTATCTATGTGTGTCTTTGTTTGAAGGGTGAGGTGGTGGTGTATGAGAGTGGTTGGTAGGCGCTGTTCTTCCTGTGGGCAGGGTAGGGGATGTCTTTGAAGGTTTTTCGGAAGTGTTAGGGATTCATCTGCGGGCGTGGAGTTGGGGTGAGGAGAGGAGGAGAGGGGCGAAGTGGGGGAAAGGTGTGTGGTAGGCTGTGAGGGGAAGTGAGGAGGTTGGGTGGGTAGTGGGGAGGTGGAATGAGGGACCTGAAGAAGTGGGGGTTGTTTTTGGCTGTTGGTCGTTGTTTGTGGGCCTAGGGGGGTTAGGGTGCCAATATGGTCCTGGTTAGCCATGGGTCCCAAATTTAGTGGTGTCGTGTACTAGGGCTGATATTTTGTCCATTTCCATGGTTTCAGTTATTGTACGCAGTACTTCAGGTGTTGCCGGGGCAGTGTTGCTTCCCCAGTGTCTAGCAATGGTTCTCCGGGTGGCCAACGCAATCCGGGCCGTCATTTTGTTTTGGGCCCTGGTGAGGGTCTCGTGGGGTTTGGACAAGAGCCATAGCTAGGGGTCCAGTGGGAGGTTGCTGTGTATGCCCTATTGATTATTTGGGCTATTTCCTGACAGTGTTGGGCTATTTGTAGGCAATTCAACCATAGGTGGATATATGTGCCTTGTTTATCGCACCCCTTCCAGCATTGGTCAGAGGGTGCTATGCGCATTTGTTTCAGACTTAGGGGGGTGATGTACCAGCGGAGCATGGTTTTGTACGCTTGTTCTTTGTGTGTAACGCATATGGAAATTGCCGCTGTGGCTTCCCATATGTCTTGCCAGTCTGATGGGTCCGTGATGGGGCCTATATCTCTTTCCCATGCCGCAGTATATGATAGGGCTTCGGGGGTGTTAGTGCAAAGTATGATGCCGAATATGGTGGATATCTGGCCCCATTGTATCAGAGTGTTCATGCACATTTTCTCGAAGGTGGTGAGCTTGGTGGTTGCTGTTTTTTGGTTGTGTGGTTGGGTCGGTCAGGAAGCTCCGTATCTGTAGGAACCTGAAATGGTCGAAGGTCGTGTATGGGGTGTTGTTGGGCAGGTGTGTGAAAGGTAGAATGTGTTGTCCCCGAAAGAAGTGGTGGAATCGTACCAGGTCATTGTCTTCGTATCGCGCGAAATGTTGGTGGGTCATCCCGGGTTGGAATTGTTTGTTCCGGAGGATTGGTGTTAGGGGGGGGATGGGGTGTTAATGATGTCGTATTTGCGGGTCATTTTGTCCCAGAGTTGGATTGAGTGGGTGAGTGCTGGTGTCGTGGGGGGGGGGATGTGTGGTCTGTCCTGCCTTGGTAGCCACAGGTACAGGGAAGGGAAGCCCCTTCCAAATAAGTCATGTTCAATGTCGACCCATAATTTAAGCCCTGCTGGGGCGTGTAGGTTCTGGATCTGTACCAATTGGGCTGCTTGGTGGTACCATTTTGTACTTTTAAATACAGAATTGTAAAAGGAAAAATTTAAGGCACTGGGAAGTTAAACTGTTATACAAAGTCAGGCACCAGAATCTGTATGTACTTTATAAACACTGATGTACCTGCCATGATAAGTGTCTGTCAACCAAAAATAAAGAACTAAATAAAAAAATAAAAAAAGTGGTGATTTACTATTTGAGGCCTGCTTCAGGTACAAGTCACATAGCTACCACACCCTAAAATAAAGTAACAAAATCAGGGGGGCAATATTTCACGGTATTCATATTGTACATCTTACAAAAAAAAAACGGTTTATCATATCATTGTTTATGAGATCATTAAGTTGAAACCGTTTATTGAAGTCAGCATGTTCTCTCAGATTGGACAATCAGAAGAGAAACCTAACAAAGTGAATGAGCTTACCTCACTGACAGAAGTAGGCTGGGGACAGTATAGTGGTGGTGCTGGGAGGTATAACCGATCTGGAACTAAACCAGATAGCTTCCTTATCAGCTCCTTGGCAGAATCCATCAGCTGATGAAGTGTCTCTGTAACAATTTCTGCATTAGCCATGACAGCTGCCTTCAGCATCTCCTGCACTGAACTAAACAGCACGTCTGCATCTTCTTCTTCAATTGGATCTACAGTACAAAAAAATAATAATAATAAAATAAGTTTTCAAACTGCAATTACAAGATAATAAAGATGTGAGAGGAGAAAGTTAGGAGAAAGATAACTTTTCAGACAGAAATTAATACATATTCATGTAATGAAGTTTGCCGACATCATCATGTGAAGTGAAAATGGTTGGAAGAGCAAAACCAGATAAATTAACTTTGTTAAAATAAAAAAGGCCACTCTATAAGCTGTAAAAAAAAAAACAAACAAAAAAAAAACAGCTGGCTTTAAAATCAAACCAAAAAGGCAACTCAAGATGAATTGTGAATTTGGTTAACAGGACTTGTGGTTACCCTACAGATTGAAACCCATGCAAACATCATGAGGTGCAGAGTGTGCACTCCCCACTTATCTTATACACCAATGAAATAAAACAAGGGGTGACAATGACAGGAACAACAGTCTCATTTCAGACTAAGAAATGCAGAACATAGTTTGAAGCAATAGATGTTGGATGGTTTGTGTTCTGGAGAGATTTGAGGTACGATCTGATGTGAGTTTGAAATTCGTAAGCCTCCAAAAAGATGACCATACGTTGCTCTTAAAGTTGCGGAAAACTTTTTTTTTAATTTTTTTTTTTTTTAAAACCTAGTAAATCTTTAATCGGTACAATTTGAGAAAAGATGGCAATATTTGGGTATATGAAGAATGGACATGCAAGTTGGGAGGGGAAAGGGTTCAATTACAATTTTATATGTGTAGTCGTTCCTTTAGACTTCTGTATATTCTTCTTGGAAGTGGGAAATAGCAGACTGGAAGTACAGAGTAAAACACTCCAGTTTCAGGCAAAGATAAACACCAGAATGATTATCTGAATCAAACGCGTTTTAGAAAATGTTTGACAATACATGGTGTTTGGGCTTTCTATGCTACCCATTAAAAAATGAGTGCATGTGTATTCATGGTGACCTGCAGGCTAATGTTATGACAGCTTTGGGTTTATTTTTTTTGTGACCGTTTTTAGTTGGGCCATCTCTGATATTGTCCCCTGATACCAGTAAATTACCAGCTAGCACTTGAAACAACTCTTTGCTAAAGTTACAATGAAAAGGCAAACAGTCCCAGAAAAACAAATAAACCATTACCAGTAAAATGCTTCTCTCCAGCAGGGTCCTTGATGGTGGTTTCTGAACCCGGAGGTCGTCCAAGGAAAAACTGTAACTTCTCCTGGAATGTGTGTGCAGGAGTGAGGTGTGGAGGGAGAGCAGGTGTTTTCTTTTCAGATCTGAAATCAAGCAAATTATCTAGCACCATCTTCTGCACTATTTGCTTGTTTTTTTTCCCCCCTTTCTCTCCCCCCTCACTCTGTGATCTTCACACAAGATATTTACAACCCTCTGCGAGAATGATGTCTATTTTCTATCAAACCTGCATGTTATCTGCACTCATGTCACCTTAACCCCTGTATCACAACTTAAGAGAAACTCCTAACAGACACAATGGATAACAATATTACAGATAAAACACAAAACAGAACAACTTGATATCCTCAGGATTACTACACAAAATAGTGATGGCTAAACTTGACACATTAAGCCTGCCCATTATTAGAATAATTCCATCTTATATTGCTTTTACAATTATCTGTGCACTGGTTGTTTGTCAGTGAACTTGTGAGACGGTTTCCTTGCTTACAATGTATAGCTGGTATAGATACCAGCAAACTAGTTAAAGGTCCCTCCATGTGGCCATCCAAACCTCAATGATGATCAACTTCAGAAGACAAATGTGGTCATAAAATTTGGATGATCAACTACAGAAGACAAGACGTACTCTGAGCATTGTTCTATCAAAACATATGATGTTGCTACTGGACCACTACCTGATCCAGCAACAGTACCAGTAGAACACAGTTGTCAAACGACCCAAAATTCATTCCAGCTATACAAAATACATTATAATCTATGATTTATAGAACTCCAGTGGTACAGAGGACTTTCAAGATGGTCTTCAGGATAATATAAACAGTATCAAGCTGTATTGGTGCGCACAGGAAGGAGAACTTATGAACAAGTAATTTACAAACAAACTTACTCATTACTAAGGCTCTCTTGGTACAGGTTATATGCTACGCCCATTGAAACAGACATCTTCCAGTCTCCTAGTTGGTTTGCCAGCCATGCAGCCTCTGGTACCAATCCACCAACAAGAAGCAAGTCAAGGGCGTACTCCACCGTCCAGATGCTAGAAAGATTCTGGTCTCTAATTGCACCGGCAACCAAACTGTGCTGGAGTTTGACAGCTCTGGGAAATCGATCTATGTACATAAACATGTGCTGCAAGTTAGTGAACCAAGATAAAACCTGCCAGTTACTAGAAGACACAAGGTATAACGTTTTAAGCGGATCGTACCTGAAGCAATATGAAGAGGAGGTAAAATGCAGACATTGTGTGGAGGAAACACATACATTGGTTGGTTAGTAAAATAGGCAGCCATAAATCTAGCCATGGACTGGATGACGGCTAATGCTGCGTCAGGATAAACATCTTGCAGGTCTTGCTCACATTCAGCTCGCACTAGGAGAGACAAAAAACAGTGATCGGAGAAGTTCTAACATTTCACTGGCTTGGAGATAATTATAGCATTCTGTCTTTCAATGTCCAACCCCAACCCAATCCTACAAGCAGTCAGGATAATTTTTTATATGCTAGAAGATTCAGCACCACTGAACAATATAACAGAATTATGGACACACATATGTTTAACAGACACTGCATACATTAAAAAAATAAAACCATACACAAAGCTACACACTAGTACAGTAGGAAAGAGAACAAGGAAGAGAGTACCGGAGGAAGTTGGTACGAGCAATACTTCACTGAAATGTATAGATATGCAGATTCATTTAATTAGACTTATACAATCATAGAGTTACAAAAAAAATCACAGAACTTAAAGGGACACTATGGTCACCAAAACAACTTTACTTTAATTAAGCAATTTTAGTGTATAGATCATTCACTGTTCAATTATCTGCCATTTACCAGTTAAATCACTTTTGTTTCTGCTTATGCAGCCCTAGCCACACTTCCGCTGGCTGTGACGCACACAGCCTGAGTGTAAACAAAATGGTTTCATTTTCAATCAGATCTTAACTTACTTTAAAAGTTTTTGTGCTCTGAAATTGAACTTTAATCACACACAAGAGGCTCCTGCAGGGTCTAGCAAGCTATTAACAGTGGAGGAGATAAGAAACTCTAAATCAAAGAGAATTTGCAATAAAGGAAGTATAAACATTAACCGACTCTTTACAGGAAGTGTTTAGGATGGCACTGTAATGTCACATGCAGGGAAGGTGTGACTAGGGCTGCATAAATAAAGTGATTTAACTCCTAAATGGCAAAGAATTGAGCAGCGAGACTGCAGGAGCATGATCTACACACAAAACTGCTTCATTTAGCTAAAGTAGTTTTGGTGACTATAGTGTCCCTTTAATCATACTAACGTAACAGCAATTAATATGTTTTCCAAGATGACATATGTAGAGCTGTTAACCCCTTAAGGACACAACTTCTGGAATAAAAGGGAATCATGACTGAATATTTCTGTCATGTGTCCTTAAGGGGTTAAAGAAGAAGGAGCAAACAAGGAGCAAAAAAAAATGAGTTATGGTCAAAATAAATTCAGTGGAAACTTGACTGATGATTCCTTCATGATGTTGTAAAATCTGGGACTTCCAAAGCTGACCGTCTTAATTTTATTTTTTGCAGTTTTTCTATGCATGATCTAAATAATGCAATAAAAGAGAAACTCCAGGCTGATGGTGTATTTAAATTGCTGACTAATCACATGTGCGTGCTCATCTCGACTAATAATTCCAAAAGATGACACATAAGAATGGTAGCCTGACACACTTACCTTGGGTATCCTGTGCCTGGTCAGTAAGAAGATTCGATCTCCTCAATAACGCTCTCACCAGCTGGTCGCACATGCCCTGGGCATCATTTAGGTTGTAATTGTAGAGGTGACCATAAAGTATTGCGAGGCAGTACCGAATCTGAAGTACACCAGCTCTCCTTCCTCCTAGGTATGAATGCAAATAGAGGTGTGAATTAGCATTTACATGAAACAATTATGTGTGGAATTTTACTCATCAGGATTAATACGAGGAATCAAAAATAACCCACATTTTATAATACACTATTTGTGAAAAGCTAAAATTGTGTGTATATATAGTGTGTGTGTATATATATTATTATTATTATTATTTTACTATTTATATAGCGCCAACAAATTCCGTAGCGCTGTACAATGGGTGGACTAACAGACACATAATTGAGATCAGACCACTGACGTACAGGAACAGATGGGGTTGAGGACCCTGCTCGATGAGCTTCCATGCTACAGGGAGTGGGGTATAGTGACACAAAGGGTTAAAGTAGGGGAATTAAATAGTTTGTTACAGAAGGGTTTATTGAGTGCTTGGTAGGTCATTTTTGACAGGTGCAGGAACGGAGTCATGGGGTGGGGGATGAGAAACCTGCTGACAGTTTAATTGATACGCTTTAATGAAGAAGTGAGTTTTCAAAGATTTTTTGAAGGAGTGGAGGCTGGGTGAAAGTCTGATTGAAGAGGGAAGGGAGTTCCACAGAATAGGTGCAGCCCTGGAGAAGCCTTGAAGGCGAGCATCAGAGGTGGGGATCCGGGCAGAGGATAGGCGTAGGTCTTGGGCTGAGCGCAGGGGTCTCGACGGGACATACTTGTGTATGAGGGCGATAGGTATGTTGGAGCAGCATTATGCAGGGATTTGTAAGCAAGCACCAGAATTTTGAATTGGGCCCTATATCTAACTGGAAGCCAATGCAGGGACTGACAGAGCGTGGAGGCGTGGGAGGTGCAACCGGACAGGAAAATAAGCCTTGCAGCCGTATTCATTATAGATTGCAGCGGTGCAAGCTGGGAACATGTAAGACCGGTGAGAAGGGGATATCAATAGTCAAGGCGAGAGAGAACAACAGCATGAACCAGTACCTTAGCCGCGTCCGGCATTAGATATGGGCGGATGCGCGCTATGTTCTTGAGTTGGAAGCGACAGGATTTGGCTATCGATTGAACATGGGGAGTAAAAGAGAGATCAGAATCAAAAAGAACCCCTAGGCAGCGAGCCTGCGAGGTAGAGGTGATAGTAGCGCCGTTGACTTGGATGGAGACAGACACAGGAGTAGCAGCACTTGAGGGAGGAAAAACTAGAAGTTCTGTTTTGGACAGGTTGAGTTTAAGTAACTGAGCAGCCATCCAGTTGGAAATAGCAGAGAGGCAGTCAGAAACACGAGTCAAGCTGGATGGAGAGAGATCAGGGGAGGACAGGTAGATTTGCGTATCATCTGCATATAAATGGTATTGGACGCCAAAAGAGCTGATGAGTTTACCAAGGGAGGCAGTATAGATAGAGAACAGTAGGGGGCCGAGGACAGAACCTTGGGGGACGCCGACAAGGAGGGGTTGGGGAGAAGAGGCAGAGCCAGAGAAAGAAACACTGAAAGAGCATTGTTCTATATATGTTCTATAATCTATACACACACACACACTTTGCAATCCATTTTCAAATCTTTATATCTAAAAAAAGGGCAAAAGGATTTTTCTGAGAGGAATTTCATTTTTTTTAAATAAATAATAAAAGCTCAAGTCTTTGTCAGTTCTTTTTTTGCAGTGATCATACTAGACTTTGCTTAAACAGTCACCAAAATAATTGCTTATACGTACCTTGCGCTGTGACGTCTAAGAACGATTTATTCCAGAATTCCACAGACTCCTTGTATGAGCCCAACAAGAAATATTCTTCCCCTACAGAAGAGAAAAACAGCTTTGCAATTTACATAGACATCAACCATAACAATGAAAAAGGCTTGAGCATCAAAATCAATTACCAAACTCTAGAGACCTCTCAAACAAGTTACTAATGCTTTCTTATCTTAAGGTGGGGACACTGCCAGTAAAAGTATCTGTATAGTGCATTAAGGGGGCTCATGTAACATATATGTCATGGGTTGTATATTTACCCTAACATATATTTTGTCCAGTGATGTACTATAACATTTGTAGGCAACACACTCACAAGAACAAGAGTGATTACAATTTGTAACTAATAATTTAAATTAGTTTCATTATCCCAAACTACTGTTGGAAGTATGGTTGTCAGTGGCAAAAAAAAATTGCCAGGGAGAATACAAAAGTAGCATCTGTTGGAAATCACACAAATTGGCTAACATTACTTGGTTCCTCCCTTACAGGAGCATTTAATTTACACAGGGTCATATCGCACAGCATGCAAAACAACGTGTGGGAAGTCAGTCGCCAATGACCATGGCTGGCCAGTAAGCCTTTCCTGCTTACAAAGAATGTTTTCTCATGAATACGTTTTAAACACAATAGAATTAAACAAAAACACCCAAAAAATAGGTGGTTTGTAATAAAACCTACAGGTTACAGGTTCACTTGGACAACACATACCCCCCTCTAGCCACAATGAGCACTGTGTCTGTCTGGATTACCCTTTAAGTATAGTGGCGCCACATTCACAAGTGTGGTAATATAGTTACCACTCAAATAGTTGTACATTGCATGAAAAGAGAAAACTCATAGTGCAGTATTTATTGATCAAAGAAAATTCGAAAATAGCTATAAAAAAAAAAAAAAAGGAGTATTTCTTATTGTGGCACTATTTTGGTGAGTGTATTTTTAGCTATTTTCAAATTTTTTTGTTCTCAATAAATACTGCACTATGAGTTTTTTCTTTCTCTTTTCATGCAATATACAACTAAATGACCGGTAACTACAATGAACAAAATTATAAAATGCAACACTTTTGTTTTTGCCCCCTTTCATGTACATAGAAAAAGTCTTAGATCTTTCAGTTCAGCTTAAGAAAAATGGGGGCAAAAACAAGTGTTGCATTTATAAATTTTGTTCAGTGTATATTACCACACTTGTGAATGTGGCGCCCTATAATGTATATCTATTGTGGTTATACAGAATTGGTTTGTTTTTTGGATTGACGGGATTTGGGAAGTGGTTCTTTTTATAGTGGCTTGTCTGCACTTATCATTCGCACTTTTGCTCCACCCACTTGATTTTACAGGATTACCCTTTTAACTTTGGGAGAGACAATTTAATGCATGTAACAAAAACAGATAATATGAGAACTCTGGGACGGACAAAAGCTTAGAGAAAGCTTGCCAGTCGGTAAATCCCCGCACAGGTTTCAAAATAGTTTTTGCTCACTTGTGTCATTAAGAAGGGTATATATTCCAAAGCATAGGAGACTGATCTCACCCGTAAAGGCAGTCCAGAACCAAAATGCCAACAAGTTCTCCCTACACGAGAGATACAGAAACCCCAGACAATCATTTTGGCCTTCTCTGGGCCTTGTCAGTGAGGTGTAGCTGATACCCCTCTAGGCACAGTGAGCCAGTCAGTTTACTTATGGTTAGTTTTATTAGCATTGTAAGAGCAAAGCCTTTCAATTGTGTACATTTGGAACTGAAATGCAGGACGAGATAAGACCAATAAAAGGAGGTTTTTAAAACAATCTAAACTTGACCAGAAAAATAAGACGTCTATGTGACAAATGTAACGGAGGGGCTGTATCTTATATTGTATATTGGTATATAATATAAATATAGCAAATCATTGAAGATTCAGAGCATATGCTAGTTTACTGAATAAAAGTTGAATGATACTTGTTTTGACAGTTTTATTCATTTACCACCTGTAGTCCTTACCAGTCACAGGAATCAGACGCAGGCTCCGGTCCAAGTGTTCACCTGCAGACTGCAGTTCACCCTGTATGTGACATAGCATTGATCTAATGGCTTCTTCCTCCAAGTAAAGTTTGGGGGATAAATGCTGTGACAGGTAATCGCTGTTGCACTTTCTCAAACGAATCTGATACCGAAGAACCTGATTATATAGAATGCTCCATAATGCTGCCAGCCTGCAATACATCGAAAAACTTAACAAGAGTACGAGTAATATAGGAAGGGAATAAAATCCATAGATTATAGCAGTTTAAGGGGCATATGATGCAAAGTAGATTAGGGTAAGTCACCTCAGTCACTCACATGTTTTTATTTACAATATAGATTTCTAGCGCATACAGTTGAAGGCAGCTCGAACACCCAAACCAGAGTCTTTTTTTTTTTTCCCCCGATCCAAAAGAAAATGCATATAGTAGAAGGAGGGGGTTAATAAATAAAAAAAATATTTATTAGTTAGAGACGATATAAAGGGGACTTATGTTCTCAAATAAGCCTGGTATTATGGTTTAAGTAATATATAAAAGTACACATAAGAGTACTAGATAGATGTAAAATATGATAGCATCTATGTGTAAGAATGGATTAAGGTATGGATATAATAGAGATCAGGTTTATACACCACTAGATAACGTTTGTTAGTGTTGTGATTTGTTTTTAGGTTTTGTCATTCATGTTTTTTTGTTTTTTGTCTGTGTGATTGTCTAATTATGTATATACTGAAATAAAAAAAATAAAAAAAATAAAAATCACATAGTGTACATTGCTAAAAACCATAAAATAATAAAACAAGATAAAACCCAAGTGCTGTGGATTGAGTAAAACCATATTTTCCTCTCCCTCTGGGAGTATCCCTTTTATGTTTTTTTATGTTTTATTATGATGGTTTTTAGCAGTATACACTATATTTATATTTGTTTTGATCTGCATTATTTGATTGCAAGTTCATAAAGTTTTCCCCTGGGACATATATCATCTTGAGCTAACCTGCCTTCCTGAGGTCACCATGTACCTTAGCACCTTATTGAAGAAGAGACCAGCTATCCTTAGGCGGGGATCAGATCGCCCAGGTGCTACATAGTAGAGCTACTCATGCTCTACACTTAGCAAGTTCACTTCTTACTCTGAACTGTTTTATACAGAACATACTACACTATAATTCGTTGTATTATTTCTCTTTTAGATTTCCAACTACCACTGAGATTACACCAAGGCACAACTCCCTCCTTCTACCATAAGCATCCACATGTTTTGACAAACTAGGTTTTGGGAAAATGTCAGGACATCACCTCTTCACATATTTGTGCTTCTCTCAACTTCTAACCACATAGAGAACACATAGAGAAACATTTGCCACATTACAGCAGGGCATGTACTGGTAAGCATTGTGTAATCGTTATTTAAGTAATATGTTGTAAATAACATTCTCTTCTTGTGTTACGGAAGGTCCCCTTAAATTATTAGCAATTAGACCCCCAAAACAAACCCACATCTAATTAATATATGTTAACAAGAAGAACTTTGTATTGCTAGTGTATCCATACCTTTTCTCGGATTTTAGCCGGAGGTTCACAGGCTCAGGGGGTTGTTTAAAGACACAGTCCAAAGACCAATGCTTGAGTTTGATATTCAATCCTTCAAATATGGGAATCTTCAGCAAATCAAGACATGCTTTATTGCTTGTATCAGTTGTTGGCCAGAAAGTTTCATAATGCAAATTATAAATCAGATTCAAATGCTGTGATACCATCTTGAACAGACAAAAACATTCAAGAAGCCCTTTGGTGGGCATATCTCGACGATGTTCAAGAATCAATTTGGCAGTTTCTGAGGTTAGCTTGATTATGTGCCCGATTGTTCGCTTTGGTGCTACATCCCAATGCAGAATGGTCAGGCACTGCTGGAAGATAGTCATGTAAACAATCCAGTCATTACCCTTCACCATCTTTTTAGATGGCTTAGAATGCTGTAAACTAGGACATTTGGAACTCTGTAAAACAGCCAAGAAATGGGTCAGGCACGACACAGTGTAGTGCAATAAACTATCTTTCTGATTCAGGTTCCTCATTGTTATGCCAACTGTCCAAGCTGTAAGCAGGGTCTTCTGAATTCTATGCAAATCACTTAGCAAATCACTCTGTCCCTCAAACTGGTCACTGGCGTGCATGGTGTCAAACATGGAAGCAAACTCAAGTCGTCCCTCTTCTGCTCTTCCAAAAGATACAGGTGGTTCACAGAATCTAGGAAAATCCTCATTATCGGATGCATCGTCATCAACCTGGAAAATAAAATATATTTGTGATGTGGAACAAAAAGATCATAAGAATCTATGGATTTTAACATGCTACAGTTTGATTAAAAAAGTGGTTTAGGGAGTGGCTAAGTCAATATATAGCTGAAAAATATTCTTAAAAAAGGAAATTATCACCGATGAACAAAATAGTTCCCAGGATGGAAACTTTGTCTGCAAGTATTGCGACTAAATCGCAATGCATAATACGGTCGGTTATAAATGTGAGGGTGTATGAATGTATATAGAGCATCATCAGAGAAAGGCTTGCTTCTACGTGCAATGTGCTAAATACACAAGTAAGCAATCGTACATGTGTCAATTTATACTGATAACTTGTAATCTTATCACAGTTACAAAATGTTAAGTTCTTTGCTCTGTTCACAATACTAGATAGCAGTTTAAACAACCTAAAAATGTTGTGCGTATCCTAAATGATATGGCTTTTTAGTATCGGGTTGCAGAGAGTTAGAAAAGATGATGATTGCAAATAATCAATCAAGTTTCATTACAGGCTATTTAGCGTGTATGTAATCTCTGTAACCTCCTAGTGTGGAGATAAGCAAGTAAGCAGTTAATGGTGGGAGATGTAACCATGAAATCTTGGGGATGGTCAATTGATGGCCAATTTGAATATGGCCAGCTAAGTGACAGGCCAACGTTTGCTAGTTGCTTAAACGGTAACATGCTACATAAAAGTCTTTCCTAGAATAATTAAAATGCATTTTCCCCAAAAAATACTTATTTTTTTCTATGAAGTTTCATAGACTGCGGACCTTTGTCACGGACATTTCTAGGAGTGTCGTTACCTGTAAAGCTGACTGATCAGGTCTGAGGGTTTCCTCCTCTGTTTGGAGGAAGCTGGGAATGGTGGGTGTTCCACGGTGAGGTTGCTCGCGGTCTTTTAATAAACTTGCTTTTAAACTGGTCAGTGACTTCAGTTTACCCAACCTTTTCTTTGGCTGCAAAGTACACAGAAAAAAAAAAAAAAAACTAAAATAATATATTTCCTGAAACTTGTGCTTATTGCTAAATATTCACGACTTTATTCAACTTATTTCACAGTAAAACTCCGTGAAATCATGCACACCCCTATATTCCCAATAATGTGAACAAGCAGTCAGCAAGGTTATGCATCAACAGGCCAAATGTGTGTACACAAGTATCTCAACATTTAGTAGCTTGCAAAAAAACACACAATGCTGTATTCTGGTCTTTGCATTTGTCAGCTGCCTCAGAGGAACATTTTTTAACCTGTAGTGACCCTGCTCAAGTCACTCAATTTTGTTTCCCCTACATTTTAGGGCTCAGCGATTCAGCATTTCCACTTACTAGCGATCCTACAACTCATTCTGGGACAACAGAGATATCCACCACCGACTGTCCCTAAAGAATGGGCAGGGTTGGGAGATAGGCAGCAAGACTAGAAGTCGGTCACCTTCTCGCATACAATGATGTAGCTCACATAGAATCCTGCAGCCTTCTACCTTCCTCGTATTTGGGATTTGACTGGACACTGTATCCAACACTCTCTAATGGAATGCTAGCTCTCTCTTCTTGACCTATTAAAGGTAACTTAAACAGCTAAGCTGTTATTTTTATTTTGTCATGCAAGCCCTGCATGTCTTTTTTTTTAGATCCTTTTCTTTGATACCATTAATGCTGATGTTATGCTCAAAGTACATTCAATAAAAATCAATTTTGACATTGTTATTATGTGAATTGCTATTTATACATATTGACGAGAAAAATAAATTACAAATTTCTTTAACCCCTTAAGGACACATGACATGTGTGACATGTCATGATTCCCTTTTATTCCAGAAGTTTGGTCCTTAAGGGGTTAAAGAACAGAAGATAATATGGATCTTGGTGTAAATTTTTTTGGAGATAACTTGGTAGTGGAGGGGTTAAAGATGTGTATAGTGCTAAATAAAGGCATGCGTATGTGTTTGTACTGCCCTGATCAAATATGCATGATATTTTGAGGGATAAAATATTTTATTTTTCTCATGTGACATTTTGCCATGGGCTGAATCGACCCATTGCCTTTAGAAGCATGTAAAGTGGCTGCATTAGTTAAAGGGACACTCCAGTGCCAGGAAAACAACCAGTTTTCCTGGCACTGCAGGCCCCCTCTCCCTCCCACCCTCAGTTGCTGAAGGGGTGAAAACCCCTTCAGTCACTTACCAAAGGCAGCAATGATTTTCCTCATCGCTGCTTCTTCCTCCGCCGCCGCTCGTCCCCTTCATTACGTCAGAGGAGACTGATCCCGCCCGCCGGCTGGGGAGACCTAATGCGCATGCGCGGCCATGCCGCGCACGCGCATTAGACCTCTCCATAGGAAAGCATTGAAAATGCTTTTCAATGCTTTCCTATGGGGATTTTAGCAACGCTGGAGGTCCTCACATAGCGTGAGGACGTCCAGCGACGCTATAGCACTGAAAACCTGTGCTATGGACCAGGAAGTGCCCTCTAGTTGCTGTCTAGCCACTAGGGGAGGACTTAACCCTGCAAAGTTTATGAAAACTGCAATAATTACAGTTGCAGGGTTAAGGGCAGAAGTGGTCTGGGTGCCTGGCGTGTCCCTTTAACATCGCTAAAGCATGAAGATCATCACATCTTCCGCAGACAGAGAAATGCTATCTAACTGCAAATGCTCAGTGCTCGGAATGTGGATAAAATGAGATATGAACGTATGTGCTTTTGAAGCAGTAAATGAAAATTAAGGACATTGTGCAAAGCAGATGCTAAACAAATTCATTATAGGCCGGGTAAATCAGAGAGGAAAAGATGAACTCAAAATAATCACGTTTTGCAAATCTAGCCTAAAAAAAAAAAAAAAAATTTTTTTTAAATGTATAGATAAAAAATGTCACTCACACAATCTATACAGATATAGCTCTCCTCCCCAGACCTCTTCCCTGCCATCCTGCAACATGTCACTGCTTGCCTTTCCTCCCGCTTTCTGAAACTCAATTTCTCTAAAACTGAGCACCTTGTCTTTCCTCCTCCTAATACTGATCCTCCTCTTTCATGCTCCCTTCAAGTTAGTGGTATCCACATCAGTCCATCCTTGCAAGCGCACTGTCTTGGCATCATACTTGATTCTGGCCTCACCTTTGAGCCTCACATCTAGTATGTTGCCAAATCCTGTAGATTCCATCTAAAAAAACATAGCCCTCATCCACCCCTTTCTTACGCAAGATGCTACCAAGGAGCTTGTCCATGCTCTAGTAATTTCCTGCATGGATTATTGTAACCCTCTCATAATTTGTCTTCCCAAAAGCCATATTGCCCCGCTACAGTCTGTAATGAATGCTTCAGCCAGACTGATTTTCCTCTCTAGTCGGTCCTCTTATACCTCACCCCTCTGTCAGTCCTTACTGTATCCTACAGGAGTCAATTCAAAGTGCTAACCCATACCTATAAAGCACTGACCAATTCTATCCCCTCTTATATTTCTTCCCTAGGTATGCCCCTTCTCGGTCTCTCCGCTCTGCCCGTGATCTTCTCCTGTCCGCTGCTCGCACCCGTACAGCCAACTCACGCTTGCTGGACTTCTCGCAGGTGGCTTCCTTCCTTTGGAATAGCCTGCCTACCCCAATCAGACTCTCCCCTAGACTTCAATCATTTAAGAAGTACCTTAAAACCTATCTCTTTAGGAAAGCTTATGGCCTCCCAGAGTAACCTCTACCTTACACACCTGTCTCTTGCTCTCTCCTATAGGGCAGCACACTACTCTCTCCTCCAGCTCTGCTTCACTCCCACCTTATTTGATTGCTATTTCCTGCCCTAAAGTGTTTCATACACCACCTCCTATAGACTCATATAGAGCTCGTTTGAGCAGGGTTCTCTCCAACCTATCGCTCCTGTAAGTTTTCTTGTAATTGTCCTATTTATAGTTAAATCCCCCTCTCATAATATTGTAAAGCGCTACTGAATCTGTTGGCGCTATATAAATGGCAATAATAATAATAATAATAATAATAATAATAATAATAATAATAATAATAATAATAATAATAATAATATGTTGATACTGCAGATAAAGTAGAAGAGTATTCCTCTTGACCAATACCTTTACTAGTTGCAATCTGTGACGTACACTTTCCAGTCGTTGCGCAGAGTCCAGCAGAAGGGACTTCATAAAATTATAGGACGATACATTTTTTGCAAATCGAAGTGCAGTGAACATGTAGCCATCAGAGACTATAAGGTAAGGTAATCGCGGGTGACAGGTCACAGAATACCTCTGTCTCATTGTGTCAGTAACCGATATAGTTGAACCCAATGAATTATTGGGATCATGAGACTCCAGAACTGAAACAGGAGGCCTGACAAGGATAACAAAAAAACATTTTGTCACAATTCAAAAATAACATAACATATACCGATGCCAGATTGCGATTTAACATTTGATCTGTCAGAGATTTTAAATAAGTGGTATATATTATGGTACTACCATTATTAGAAGGTGCAATTTGATTATTGTTGACATAGATCTGATATTAAAAATTATAATAAAATAATGTAATAATATTTTTAGCTAAACTTTGCTTTTCATTAACACATCAGAGGGCTGAAATAATATCTCCATTTCCTGTACGCTGGAAACATTTTCAGATTGACTATCCAGTGAGGACTTATATAAAAATATGGTGCAAATCCAAGATGGCAACCTCCACAATGAAAAAAAACGGTCAGATATTCAAGTGGTAATTCCAGTTATGCTTGCTATGGCTACGTTAGAGAAAAAATAATATTAATGTACTGGTAGTACTTGAAACTGATTTATATAAATTTAACACGACTAACAAACCAGTTTGTTCTCATCACCAAGGGCAATCTGATATTCTAACGGATCAATTTGACTTAAGCAAAGATTGTTGCTGAAACCCTATACGTATGTGCTAGAAAGGCAAGTAATAACTTCTAGTTAAAAAAAATATATACATTTAAAAAAAAAAAAGGTATTAGAATTCCTATGCTTGGTCTATGCAGGTTAGGCAAGACTTTGTACACACATAATTTGTACTTACATGTTTACTAAATGTTTTATGTCATCAGGACAAAATAAGGAAAAGAAGAATGCTAGAATGAAAAAATGAAGAATGAAAAACAGATTGGAAAGAGAGAAATAGAAATGTGAAAAAAGAAGAGGGTCCTTTCTTAAAGGGAAATTTTCATTTAGAAAAGTGCAAACGAAAAAAAAAAAAAAAACAAAGACAAAAAAACTAAACAAAAACGCATCTGTGGTTTGTATGTTGACGGGTTGTCTGGCAAGTACTTGATACGCTTCAGCTTATTGCTCTTGGCCTCTCACTACCCACTATCACTGGAGTGATTTGGTATAGTATAATGCAGAGTAACTCCATCTTTGCCATTCCATCAAAGTACGTTGAAGACCCTAATTCAGTGTTAAAACTTTTAAAGATGGTAAAACAATAAAATAAAATAAAGAATGGCACCCAGAAACTCCAATGAAATAAAATAAAGTGGTTATTGTGCCTGTTACCCTTAAGGGATAAAATTAAATAATCCAGAATGTTAATGTTTTACAAATTTTAACTAATCTGGATTATAAACTGTAAAACATGTGTTTGTGAGCTCTAGAAAAGAAAATTAAAACAATCTTATTGGCAACACACGTAAACTATCCATTTGTTTTGTTTTTGGGGGTGTGAAAGGGTTTAACCAAAAACAAAACTTTACACTTTGTATACCGCAAAGAAACAGTGATCAGAATTGTGTTTTAGTTCTAAAAACCTTTTGGTTCCATTTCAACAGAAAAGTTAGACATGACACCTGTCTCTTTTGATATAAAGGATGTAAAATTGTAATATATAGGAATTAAAATGCCTATATGCAAGTCTTTGCAAGGACGTTGCATGCCTCCTCAGTTTAGCTTCACTGAGCTAAACAACTAGGTAGTAAAAAGGACCGGTTATCTGATTGACAGCCAGGTGGGATAACAGGGTTAATGTATAAAATTGCCAATATCTACGGAAGTCTGCACTTTTTGTGAAAAAAAACCCCCAAAATAACACACACACTACTCACACATAAAGCAATGCCTTAGAGGTCATGTGTGTCCCTTTACAGGAACATTGTAGTAAACCAGACCACTTCATCTAAGTAAAAGTGGCCCTGTCATTTTAACCGTGCAATGTAAAACACTGCAGTTTAATTTTTTTAAAGAAACTGCAATAATTTACATTGCTGGATTAAATCCACCTACTCCTCCTCCATACCAAGTGAAGGTTGGTCTGGGAATCAAATGTTGCTGGTAGCAGCATTTGATTGGACGAGGGCAATGTTTGGTCACGCGTACCAGCAATGGATTGGAAGAAATCATAGAGACTTCAGCAGGTATGCGGACATCTTCACAGGTGGAGCAGACAGCTGCAGCGGAGGAGTCCCGGCACTGGAAAAGAGTCGAGTAATCGATACTTTACTTTTTTTTTTTTTAAGAAAATGGGATGGGCAGAAGGAAACCTAACGTATAGTTCCAAAATGAAGATTGTAATTGGGGTCTATTTTCCTTTTAACATTATATAAAACATTTCCAATTATTATTTCCCTTTAAGGTAAGATTAAAAAAAAAAAAAAATACAATAAATCCAGAGATAATGGCAGTGACAAGAGGAATGAATGAAGTGCTGAGAATAACACAAATAAATCATGTTAACAGAGGAAGGGGCTGTGAAAAGGCTGAAATGATTCTCATTAGACAATCTAGTCAAATAGGAAAAATTAACACTCCCTTGTGTGCGGTTTTTATAGACCCCTAAACAATGTGACAATTGGCTGGTGTGGCACAAAGTATGTATTAAGTGTTAGGAGTTCTTTTAAATGGAAATATCCTAGGGAGGGTGGAGCAACCAGCTTACAGAGAGGTCACATCTCCACGGAGCTAAGATCTGCCTGCACTTTAAAGATGTTTCTAACCTAATTCACGTCACGTTTGCGGCTATTTACGATCACCCTTCATCCCTGGAGATATGGGGAAACATTCCAAACTACGAAAGGGCATCAGAACCCTTATGACTTTGAAACATGCAAAGTTATGTTTTATCAGACCTATGCAGAAGCACTCTACAATGGACAAACTGTCTATAGGAGACATTTAACCTCTTTAGGATACATGATCGAAATATTCCGTCATGATTCCTTTTTATTTCGGAAGTTGTGTCTTCTTAAGGGGTTAAACTCCTTCATGCACCAGGCATTTCCTAGCGCAAGGCGAGCCTCACTCCGTACTGGCTGAGAAAGATTAAAAAATATATTGTGAACATTAACGTCTTCTTACAGGCCTGGGGCCTCTCATAGATCGGCTCTGGCTGAGCGCTGTCTTTGGCACAGCAGACCTGAGATGGGTCAAACATCCCCCCCCAATTTGTTCCTTGGGGCTTTATTGGACTAGGCTGACTGTAATGCATCGCAAATGTTGGGATGTTTTTTCTACCATTTTTATTTTTGTATTTTACAGTTGATATTGCACATACTGGCCAGTATGTTATAAGTGTTGGAAACAGTGAACAGTTCATGGGTTAGTTAACATTTAAAAGGGACACTATAGTCACCAGAACAACTACAGCTTATTGAATTTGTTCTGGTGAGTAGAATCATTACCTTTAGGCTTTTTGCTGTAAACACTATCTTTTCAGAGAAAATGCAGTGTTTACATTACAGCCTAGCGATAACTTCACTGGCCACTCCTTAGATGGCTGTTAGAGATCCTTCCTGGGTCATGGTTGCCTAAAGTGCATCCAGACATTCATTGTCTCCACCCACTACATGCAGATACTGAACGTTCCTCGTAGAGATTCATTAATTCAATTAATCTCTATGAGGAGATGCTGATTGGCCAGGGCTGTGTTTGAATTGTGCTGGCTCTGCCCCTGATCTGCGTCTTAGTCAGTCTCAGCCAATCCTATGGGGAAGCATTGTGATTGTCAGCAGGCAGTGGGCAGGTCTAAAGGAAACAGGGACAAAGCATGCAGCTCCAGACTGGAATAAAAGTAAGATTTTACTATATTTAGGGAGGCAAGAGGGGGCTAGATGGTGGTTTTAACCCTATAGGGTCAGGAATACATGTTTGTGTTCCTGACCCTAAAGGGCTCCTTTAATCAGGGCCTGACTAAATCAGGCCCTGTCTTTACTTTCCTTTAAAATTTCTTCAGCGGGGGCCCTTGACTCTCATTTTATTTATTTTTTATGTGGTGTGTAGCCTAAGTCATTACCATTATATAAGAGTTAAAAAAAAAAAAAGTCTTCAATGAATACTATTCTAACAATCTACTTCCCTAATACTTCCCTTAACTTTTAGGTCACTTTACCCCACTCCCTCTAGCATGTAAGCGCATTAATCAGGGCCCTCAACTCCTCTGGTTAAAATGACATGTTTGCTAGTCCACCCACTGTACAGCGCTATGGAATTCTAGTTTATGGGCAATGTCCTTCCTTGTAAATAATGTAGTATATCACTTTCTGATTAGGGGTGTGTACTGACTGCATCTGCATGAGCCTAATCTAATCAGCAGCAGTTTATGATCAGAAAGGTGTCTCTCAGCTCTACTTTAAAAAGGTCCTTCCTTTTTGTATGGATTCAGAACAAGTAACCTATTTGGGTCCAGGCTATAGATTCCTTGCAATAATGAGTTGTTTACTATCGGTAGTGGTGAAGGTTATCTGTTGAGGCAGGCCTTATCCTTCACATTTAGTATGGATGCAACAGTGAATGAGATAATATAAAGTATCTGCATGCCATTTTATCGTCAGAATAGGTGCATTGTGGGTTAAATAAGCACTTCAAATAGCATAATCACTACTGCCTATTCTATTGTTTATGATGCATGAGTCCTGTGGCATTGTCTACTGTTGAAAGTCAAATCGTTTTTGACCAGTTTGACGCTCACTGGGGTCCCAGTAAGTGAAACAGAAGTTCTTACTTTTGCATTAGTGAAATCAATTCCTTCAGTCTTTAGACAAAATTCATTGGGTGACTCTCTTCCGCCAATGAATTCCTTGGAAAGTTGGACAAAATTGATATTTAGAACACGGACACAGAACCTGCACACGTTCCGATGAGAAGGAAGCTTGATCACAGGTGCCATGGGGACTAATTGTCAAACCATTTTGAAAACCCGTTTGACTCTGGTCAGGCTGCAGTAGATAGTTTGCTTAGATTGACCTTTTCATATTGAACTTCTATTATATAAATAATAAATTCCAACCATTCCTATGATGCACACAGCTCTAGTGGTGTTTATATATTTTTTTTTGTCCTATGGAACTACAAAATATATTACATACTTTTTGCTGATCTTACGTTGCCTAAAAGAAAACTGTACCTTGCAATTTATTAAGCAATGCATGTAAGGAGCACAACCTGTGCTTTATTTAGTATTAGTCCACATTTACTGAACAAAAGGGTAGATATTGCAAACAAGTTACTATTCAAGGCTTGATTGTTACATATTTTAAAAATGGGTTTTATTCATATTGCCTTCTACAAATGATTTATGAACTGGTGCCATGAACATAAAGCCATATTTAGAAAACACTAACCTGTAGGTGATCAATGGGTGAAGTGGGATGAACTCCGCAGGTCCAAACTCAACAGAACAACCGAAAGTTGTTAGCGTGAGCAACTCACCCAAACGCGTCAGTAAGAGAAGAGAACCACGCTTTAACATGCATGCCAGGAACAGGTTATCTGCTGTCCAGGACATATCACCCACCCAATATGAGCTGATAAGAGAAAGAAACAATTATCCCAATTATTAATTACACATCAACCTTAAGTGAATTTCGATTATACAAGGTGTGATTCAACTAACCGCAGAAACCTTGATGGAATGTGTTGTCCTTTGCTGCTACAGCCCCTCAGATGTCCTGGGATAGTAATAAAGTTCATTGTGTTTATAAACAGGATTTGAGTTGCCTACATGAATAAAAACACCATAACATCAGTAGTTTGCACCAGTTTGAAGACCTTGAAAATATCGGCATCCATGAACCTTCAATCAAAAAGCAACTGAACACATTGTTAATTAATAACTGTACTGTACATGTCTCCTCTTACATTATATAACATTGTACTTTATGTGTATATGCGCTCTGGACATGACACACAGACACGGACACAGACAACACACACACACACCCCTCTTTCCTTCCCATCTTGCAAAATATTTACCAAGGGATCTTTTTGATTAATTGCCAAAGCCAGAACTAAACCATCTGATGAAAAGCTGGCAATTAGGGCTCCTCTCGATTTCACTGGCTCACACGGAGGGACGAGAGTGGATAGAGAACAGTTCTGCTGTGCCCAATGGATTCTGTACGGTAGTGAACTAAAAGATTAAGTGATATACAGATACTTGTAGTGTTAAAATTGATAGTTTCCATTCTTTGCCCAAAAAAATATAATTATCAAAAATTTGTATATAGCAACAAATAAGAACGGTTGCAAACAAGGGCGTAAAATCAACCCAAGAATCAACTACAAATTGTAGTGACTAGACAATAAAACAAGCTGTAGTGAATGGTAACATTTAAGATAAAATAGATCCCAAACGATGTTCATAATTTGGCTAAAGCGTAACCTGAAATATACTGTTGAGATTTCACTCTACAACAATTCAGAGCTCAATGGAACAGTCCCCACTGACTTAAATGCACCAAAAAATGTACAATGTGTAATGATAAGGGGCATTATGACTTGAAAGAAATAATATATACAATATATACAAAATTTAACATAGAACAGGTAGGAAATATATAATCAACCATGACAGGTGCATTCTGTTTTGAGGTATGTAGAGAGGGATCTCTTAAAGGACTTTAGGCTTAGGGAAGATTTTAAATTGTGCGGGAGGTTGTTCCACAATTGCGGTGCTCTGTAGGAGAAGGAGGATCGGGCTGCTTTCTTTTTGTATTGAGGTAGACTAAGTAAAGTGTTGGTACTGGATCGAAGGTTATAGGAAGTGGGAACAGCTGGGGAAAGTATTTTTTTCAGGCAGGGTGGGAGTTTCCCAGAAAAGCTCTTAAACACAAGGCTGGAAAGATGAAGGGTGAGTCTGGATTCCAGCGACAGCCAGTTTAGTTCTTTTAGCATGTCACAATGGTGGGTCCTGTAATTACATTGTAGCACAAATCGGCAGAATGAGTTATACAATGTGTTGAGTTTATAAATGTAGGATTGCGATGCAAATGCATATACTACATCCCCATAATCAATGATTGGCGTTAGCATTTGCTGTACAATCTTTTCCTTTACTGTAGGGCTTAGGCAGGATTTGTTTCTGTACAAGGCACCTAGTTTTGGATAAAGTTTAGATGCAAGCTTTTCTATGTGCAGGCCAAAAGATAGATTGGGGTCTAACATCACACCCAGGTATTTGAAAGAGTGGACTGCGGTCAGCGTGCCATTTGAATTTGTTTTGATTGATAGGTGGGAATTGTGTAATTTGTGTAATTAAGGTACTGTTCCAAAGATCATTGTGACAGTTTTGTCAGTGTTCAGGAAGAGTTTGTTTTTTGCGATCCACTTTTCTACCTCTGTAAACTGCTCTTGGAGCAGTCCCAAGCTGCGGTAGATTGGATTTGCTCACATAGATTACTGGGTCATCTGCGTACATGTGTACATTTGAGGATTTGCAGACATTACACAGATCATTTATAAATAATGTAAATAATAGAGGGCCGAGAATGGAACCTTGGGGAACACCACACGTGACTGGGAGAGGGAGGGAGTCGCTGTCAGAAATGGACACTTATTGCGAGCGATCCGATACATATGATCGAAACCAGGTTAGCGAACGATCACCAATAACTGAGTTTTTGAGTTTTTCAGTAGAATGTCATGGTCTACTGTGTCAAAAGCCTTTGCAAAATCAAGGAAAATAGCTCCAGTTAGGTCTCCTTGTTCCATGACAGTTTGGATGTCATTGAAAACTTTTAAGAGGGCAGTTATAGTGGAGTGATTCTGGCGAAAGCCCGATTGATCAGGGGTCAGATAGTTTGATTGTTGGTAATACTCACATGGTTACATATGGACACATTTTTCTAAGATTTTTGACAATACCGGGAGCAATGATATTGCGACGGGTTTAGCAATTGCCGGCGCACTGAGCTTCAACAGCATTGCTGGGATTTGATCAGGTCCGGACTGGTTTTTCATTTTTAGATTATGAAGATTTTTTTTTGAATTGGTAATTTTTTTTTAATTCTTTATTTTTGTGTGCAAGATTTCACAAATGAGCCGTGGTGCCACAATAGCAGTCACGTACACAATTACAACATATATTTCACATATGGCACATTAATGTCTGCACAATTTTTATAATGGTAATAGTAGAGTATTAAGCTTAGGCAAGTGGTGCTCCTGTTATAATCATCGCCAGTATTGACAGATTTGACAGTGGGAGCATGAACACAGGTATATTTTAGGTTACATTTGGTTTCACTGAGATTTGCCTGGTTAATAGTTACACGTGTATAGGTTCTAAGCAAATGGTTGTACGGTTTCTAGCGTATCGCTTGGGTAAAGTGGTTTAACTCTAGCTTGGTCTACCTCGGGCGCCATCATAGATTGTGTGGTGTTAGTCTGCCTTCACTTTTCTGGACAGGTCTGGGGTCTTCTTGGTTAGTATCAGATGAGTTTGTCAGGGCTTGTGTGTACTGTAGTTGTCTGCGGTAGTGCGTGTCTGTCTTGAGTAGTGTCTTGGGTTGTGCATATGTGTGTCTCTGCCTATTTTGTGCTGGTTTGTTGCTGTGTTAGTCCTGGTGTCTGTGCGTCTGTTGGTACCGTTTTGTTTAAGTATGTGTAACACTGGAGCAGCGTCTAAGTGTCCAACATAGTGTCCAGAAAAAGCGTCTAGCCTTTGAATTGGGCATATAGTGTCTCTGGGGACCCGGTAGAAAAGACCCGGCAGGCTTCTTTCGTAGCCGTGGACACTCCTGTGGGTCTGCTTCTGCGGCTCGTGGGTTGAGTGCTTTCTTTGAAGGCCGCATAGGTGCTGGCATGGAACCCAGTATGGCGGCCGTCCCTCCCCGGCTCAAGCTCTCGTAGGCCCCAGGCCTTGGTCGGGTTACTCCGGTGCTGTACCATATTATGTGTGGTACCATCTTGTGTGTCCCCATCTTGTGGACAGTTTGGGGTCCAATTGGGGTTGGTAGCGGCATGTGGCACCGAGTTGGCTCCGATTTTCTGGCCCAGATCCTGGAGCTCAGACGAGACATGTCTGATCTGTTCAGCAGTCAGGCTCCGCCCCCCTATGAAGATTTTTTTTAATGACACTAACAGGTACAGGTCTAAAAATGAATTTGTCTATATTGGGCCTTTGCAAATTTAGTGGGACCTGATCCACATTTGTAGTTGCAGGATGCGTGTCATTTATTAGCTTGGCAATCAGGGCAGAAGAGCATCCGACAAAATAATTGTTAAAGGCATTTGCTACATCTAAGGTGAGTTGCAGGGTTTGGTTATCCACTTTGACAGTGGAGGGTTGGGGGTGGATTGGGGGAGTTTGTAGTTTGTAGTTTATTTATGACTTTCCAAAAGTTTCTAGGGTTTCAGATGTTATTGTTCAGATTTTCATAGAAATATTGGGCCTTGGCCAATTTTGTCTGTTTTGTCTGTTTTGTGTATATATTTCGCCATTGTCTATATGCACAGTGATCATTCATAGAGCCAGTACGCTTGAACTTTGACCACAAAAGAATCCCGAAACTGGTACATTTGGATGAGATCAGCTGTGATCCAGTTCATATGTGCTCCTTTTACCCTCACGTTAGGCAGAGGGGCATGCAAATTCAGACTGAAGGAATTCAACAGCACAGTCTAGATCTGGGATAATGTTTAATCTGTGCCATGGGAGGTTCTTGATGTCATTTAGAAAGGATTCAAGATTAAGTTTTATGAAGGACCTAATTATTTTAACCTTGGGAGAGTATTTAATAGCCTTTATTTTGCGCACGCAGTACACTAAACAGTGCAATGAGCGCTATATTTTAAAACATCAGGGAGTGTTCGCTCATTTATGCATTCTTTTGATAAAATTCATGAATCCTGTTACCTCTCAGGTCCGCTAGAAAATGTGGTCAGTAGTTTAAAGCACCTTTTTATATAATGTGACCGTTAAGGATGTTGCCACCATATGTTTTAGCTACAGTTGGCTTTTGAATTAAAGAACGGCCATAGTAGAAAGCTCTGCATGCAGCCTATTCGGAGACTAATCCACGTGCATTGTACAATGGTAACCCTCCATAAAGCTTATGGTCTAAGCTATATTGTTTGTTTGTTTATTTTTAAAACCTACAACATGGAGGACTCCTAGTTGGTCTCGTACTCACAAGTACGTTAAGCCGGCTTGACTTCTGACATCTGATGAGATGAGGCATTTTCAGAATGAAATTGCTCTAGGCTAATCTATCAATTTTATATTTATAATATGATTTTGCTAGTATTATCACCATACAACTCTCATATCATAGAATATACTCGGATGAACCTTACCTATTATACTTCAGATCATTCTCAAACCAGCGTAAAGCCAAAAAAGTCATCACCAGTTGCACTCCAGAGTAAAATGCAAACGTACAGAGGCAGCAATCACCAAGGACCTGCAAGAATCACATTTACAGGACAAGATACAAGAATGGTTAATTATGTTCACTGTGCCAGAACTTTAATCTGAATTAAAAAGGATTTGTGATCACATCACATTCTTTAACCCCTTAAGGACACATGACATGTGTGACATGTCATGATTCCCTTTTATTCCAGAAGTTTGGTCCTTAAGGGGTTAAAGATATTTTTTGTTCCATAAAACAACTATAGAAAGGATTTAGGGCCCTTCTAAGAGATTATATATCCATACAGCCATTATTTTGGGCATATATAGAGCACCAACCTTTTCTGCTGCGCTTCGCATTGTTTAAATTCACCTGTATTTATTGTGTAGCCCCTCCCCCAAATAAGCATATAATGATTTTCCCAAGTAACGCTCAGTAAATGAAGCACAAGTTATATGTGCTATTTTAGGATTCACTAAATCTAAAACTTGAAATTCCCTTGAATTCCTGCAAATCCACACTTCATTATTCTCACTAGTAAATGATGCTAAATATTTATGGTCTCCTCCTCATTTGCAATTTGTACCCTGCCTGGACTGAACTGGACTGTGATGTCATCTGCTAAATCTTTAACATGTTAAAAGAAAACCAAGCATCACAAGGTTAACACAAGGTATAGGTGATTCTCAAACTTTTATTTAATTGTGTGACTTCCAGAGAAGTGATAATTCCACTTTAGGTAAAAGGGGTTACAATTTTATTTTCCTTAAAAAGTTTTTTCCACATAAAATACTAACCTTTAGAGGTTAGAATCAACCCACACATTAATATTATCCGTAATGGATCTAGTAATAAAATCTTACAATTTATATGAAAAAAAAAAAAAAAATTACCTCATTTTTTACAAATGCTATGTGGACTGTGGCTTCTTTGTCATCAATGCTGGGTAACAGCGCCGACTCTTGTGACTCAATATGTGTCCATCTTCCTGCCACTACATGACTTTTGGAAGGGTGTAAACACGTTCTTTTCTCATTAAGTTCCCACAAAAAGACACAACCTGTGTGAGTCGCCAAGAAAACTCTGCTGCCATCTTCGGACACACACAGGTACAGCTTCAATGAGTGCACTGAAAGTGAAACAAGAAATCGCAAAACTTATAACAATCTAATGAGACTGGACTCCTCAGCACTGCTTTGCAAAGGCACACTATTCTGCATCAAACACAGTAACTTAGCATCACCAAGGTAAAAGGAAACACACAAACTGGTTTGTGCTATTCAAACAATTAAAAAAAATGAAGTAAATTAAGTTCCTAGAATAAATGCCTTACCTTGTGCTTCTGTGAGGATTTGTGAGATTGCATTAGTGGCTGGCACGGTTTGCAAACAGTCAAAATCCTTATTCCACAAGAATAATTCCCCTGATAAATGTAAGCTTGCCAACCAGGCTCCTGTATGAGAGAGGGTAGTGAGATTAAAAACCATTTATGTCTTAAGATTGTTAGCACTGCAAATATTCAAAGAGTTCAGTTTACAAAGCTACAGCATTTGGTTAACGATAGGACAATAAGATTACCTGCAATATCAAAACAAGCACAAAGTATATGTGGTAGGGCAACATGTCATAGCTAGACCCACTAGTCTATTATATCACAAATATTATAAGATTAACCTAAAATGAAATGTTCTAAAAGGCATTTGGGTGATTCATTTCATTCACTCTGTGTGTGTAAAGTTCTACATCTTTGGCATCTGCTGCCTGTGCATCTTTAAATAGGCACCCTTAAGATTAGAACACCTTCAGCTTAGTGAACACCATTTTTGAATTTTTTGTTCGTAATGGTTTAACAAAAACTGTGAATCTGGCAGGCACCCATAAATCCACCTTCTAAAGCCACATTTGTATAATCAATATAAATTTGGACTGCTGTGGATATTTGGCCTATCAAAAATCCACAGTGGACAACCAGTCCTGTGATTTCCTGGTTGTTTATCTCAGTGGAGCTAAACTCGAGAGACAGGCAATTGCTCAGAGCACTTGCATTGCAAAGACTTCTGCTTGAGCTCCACTGGGAAGTTGCTGATTGGACAGCCACCGACAGACAGTCTGTGCCTCGAAAGTGGAGGAGAGAGCATAGCTACTAAATTGTTAAAATATATAATTCAGAGTATGATTTGACAGGTAAATAACTTATTTCTTATAATGGATTCTTGAGAGATTGATGATGGGTAATTTCACAAAGGAGCAATAAGTAAAAATGGGATATTATTGTTGTGATATATCGGTATATAATTGTAAATGTTCTATGTTCTCTAGTGGAAAATAATCCTGGAATGTGGTTTCAACAGGATGTGTCTACTGCCAATAGAGCCATGGCCACAATGGACCTCCCGATGCAAATGTTCAGCAAGCGGATAATTTCATGGAATTCCCAGATTATTTGGCCGCCACATTCACCCTGAATTTTCAGCACTGATTACTTCCTGTAGTGATATCTGAAGGAGTGGGTGTACGTGAACAAACTGTGTACACCTGAGCAGCTCAAGGACAAGATCCGTGCAGAAATTTGAGCCAAACATTAACTAATGTTATGAGCAATGCAATCAAAGAAGCCCAAGTTTGTTAAACAGCAAATGGAGCTCATTTAAAAGATGTCATTATGTATACCTGGTCAAACAAATCTCTATACAATAAGCATTCACTGAATGTATTATCATTTAGATTGGTTTATTAAAAAAAACAAAAAAACAAACAAAAAAAAAAAAGTTATTGACTCCTCAAACCCTACTCTGATGATTGTCTCATCCTGTATAAAAAAATAAAATAAATAAAAGAAGAAAATACACGGTGACTTTGTAGCATATCTAATGAATGAATGGCTCTCCAATATAATAAAGTACTCCACCGTTGAGAGATGAAGCAAGGGTCACAACGCTCTTCTTATTAAGCACTGCTTGCAGACGTGAGGTGGTCTTCTTCACACTACCAGAGTGTAGCTTGATCTCATTGAGCTGCTTTTCATCCACAAGGAAAACAGATTCCTTTTCCTAGAGATATGGAAACACATGACATAATAAAAGGTCACATATGGGGAAAATAAAAGGAGATGAAAGTTTACAGATCCAGCAATAAAAATATATATGGTGGCAAAAACAAGCTGCATGGTAAAAAAAAAAAATATATATATATATATATATATATATAAATAATAATACATACATACACATAATAAAACCGTCTGGAGCTAAGTCTCGATCTGTTAATTAACAAGAGACAGACCTGGCCAGTTCATTTATTTGTAGACCTCCTGCACTCATTGTACAGTGCTCATTTTAAAAATGAGAATATCAATAATACATAATACCTTCCATGATAGTCACACTAAGATATTTAATCCCCACACATGTATAATAAGTCTTCTGTCTGGAGGCTGAAGACGGGAAACAGGTCGTAGGAATGTGGGATAAAGCGCAGAGGAAAGCATGAGCCACCCTGATCATGGCTTTACCCTTCGCATTGGGTGAGGGATGAGAGATGAGGTGAGAGGTCATTCCGAAAGCCCTATATCCACACATATACATGGAATAGAAATAAAACACCCATATCACTCCACTACACAGGCCGGTTTAAGTTAACACTCTGAATATTGTCCCTGCTCTTCCATATTACACAAGGTCACCTAACTCCATTTAGAAGGGCGGTAGACCAATCACACATTAAATGGCTTCTAGTCATGAAGAATTGATACTGTATCATACTTAATATGATTTACTATGCCACTTTCTGGAGTGACGGGGGACCTGCGTGTCCTTCCGAATCACTTCTTTATGTATCCTTTCGATGAAAAAAAGAAATCAAATAATAAAAAATAAAAAAAATAAATAAACTTATATTTCCCTAAAAAGTCTTCTGCCCATTAGGACACTTTTAAGGTGTAATCCTTGCTAAAATAACTTTTTTTTTCCCCAAAGGGACCAAGGACCAGCACAAAAAAGAAACTTCACACTTAAGACTTGTTTACTATTGAAATTCTAAAAAAAAAAAAATAGATCTGTCACAAAGAGAAGGTTCTTTGAAGAAAGACACATTAAAAACAAGTTTTTTGTATGCATTTTCAACCTTAGAACCAAATACGTGAGTAGTAAAGTCATATATTACGCATGAAAACAGGAGTTATTTGTAGGTATGCTATATCGATGTTTAGTTGAAATATACTGAACAATGACTCTTCAAATGCAGATACGTTCTGAAAGGTCCTATAGTTTGAGACTCACCTGTCCTAGCCAACAGATCTTTGCGCAGGGTGTTTTCCTTTTTATGTTTGTAGATAGAAGAACTTCAAGAGAGATGTCCATGGTTGATTAAATCTTTTACAAAACTTACAAAATTCTGCAAGACATTCTTATTTCTAAAATATAATACACAATGAAATAAGTTAGAGCAAGCAGCATGTTAATTGTAGGCAATGTACAATTAATTGAAACAACAGTTTTACCTGTCAATGTAAATTCATTCAAGTTGTGCATAGCTTATAGGAATATTCCAAGCACTGAAACCTCTACAATTTGCTGTAGTGGTTATGGTGCCAGGATTTTTCTGGCCCTGCAGTTCATCAGACAGAGACATGGAACGAAGGCCAATGTACCCCAGGTAATAAGCTAAACCGGTCTAAAACAGTTTGACTACACACAAGGAGACTTCAGTGCAGTCCAGGCATGCTTTCGTAGTTATGGTGCTTGAAGTATGTACATAATTATTTTAATTACAGACCGGTCTAGAACAGGGTTCTCCAAAACATGTTCTCAAAACTCGCCAACAATCTAGACTTCAAATATCGGCTTTAGCACAGGTGAGTGGACCAGTAATTTCCACTAAGCCACCTGTACATCTCTAGGGATATCCTAACTTTAGATCTTATTTTGGGTTGTCAGATAAATCATATTGGCCAGGGCACAAATCACATTTCATGCTGATGGGCAGCTTATAAAATGTGCTTTAAATGTATATGTGTGAACGAAAATGAATTTGCTGCAAATTTAGCCCTATTGGTAGATTTTGAGGAAATGTTTGAATATCATATACAGCCAGGGCCATCCTAAGTGGCATAAAGACCAGGGAATAAATATTATAGCCCCATCCACATATACTGACATTTGTCCCTTCTGCACCTCCCCCTATACCACATCCCAAGTTTAACCCTAAACGTGTTCTATGAATATTATAATACCAAAACTTGAATTCATTGTATGATACAAACCGATATTTATAAACTCCACACGTTCAGCATTATACCCAAACATACTCCCATTGCACTGAAATCTTTCACCCAAAATAGTCGACCCTGACAACGTGCTGTATAAATAACCCCAAATATGGTGCATTAAAGTGGGGATGTTCTCAAATAGTTTTCTACTTCAATGTTACAGAGAAAAAATAAAAATAACTAGCAATAAAACAGTGTATAAAATCAGACCTGGTGCTTTTTACAACCCTACTTGGGGCTCCTGCCCTTTGGCATGTATTCAGAATATGCAAACATATATGTGCACATACAACTAAAGAACAACTGTCACCTCAAAACTATTTTTTTTGTAACTATAATATAGCTTTCATTATGTTTTAAAAGAAAATTTTTTGTTTTTTTTATGAAAAATATGTAAAAAGAATGAGAAAACCTAATTCCAGCTTATAGTATATGATAGGATCCTTCAGCCATCTACAGATACCTTGGGTCAGACAGTGTTTGAAAATGGACAGTTAGTCTCTATGGTCTTCCTTGCTTCAATCCCTGCACATATGCAGGAAAGACCATAGAGACTAACTGTCCATTTTCAAACACTGTCTTACCCAAGGTGTATATATATGGCTTAAGGAATCTATTATATACTAAAGGAAGGAATGAGATTTTCAAAAAAAATTTACATTTAAAAAAAAAATAAAAAAAAAAATTACTTTCATAACTTGATGAAAGTATTATTATATTAAAGGGACACTATAGTCACCTGAACAACTTTAGCTTAATGAAGCAGTTTTGGTGTATAGAACATTCCCCTGCAGCCTCACTGCTCTATCCTCTGCCATTTAGGAGTTAAATCCCTTTGTTTATGAACCCTAGTCACACCTCCCTGCATGTGACTTGCACAGCCTTCCATAAACACTTCCTGTAAAGAGAGCCCTATTTAGGCTTTCTTTATTGCAAGTTCTGTTTAATTAAGATTTTCTTATCCCCTGCTATGTTAATAGCTTGCTAGACCCTGCAAGAGCCTCCTGTATGTGATTAAAGTTCAATTTAGAGATTGAGATACAATTATTTAAGGTAAATTACATCTGTTTGAAAGTGAAACCAGTTTTTTTTTTTTAATGCAGGCTCTGTCAATCATAGCCAGGGGAGGTGTGGCTAGGGCTGCATAAACAGAAACAAAGTGATTTAACTCCTAAATGGCAGTGAATTGAGCAGTGAAATTGCAGGGGAATGATCTATACACTAAAACTACTTTATTAAGCTAAAGTAATTTAGGTGACTATAGTGTTCCTTTAAAAATAATTTGAGGTGATCGTTGATTTGAGGTGATCGTTGGTTTCGACTGTAAGAGGAGAAAATTCTAAGAATTTGTTTTAAAGGAGAATTAGGCATTGCGGTTATAGATTATGGCTAGGGTGGGGTAAATGTATAGAACCAGTGTGACTGAACCTACCTGCATTCACTATATGCCTTGAGCTTTAACCGGAGGATAACTTTTATTTTAAAAAATTGTGTTATCTTCATATTTTCTTTATGTTATTATATACACATTTATTAATTATTTTCATTTATTTGTGGGGTTCCATGGGGCGGTATCCAACAGTAAGCAGAGTTGAAGAGTTTTTCCAGATCTACTTTTTTTTAAATTTAAATTTTTCCATTTGGATTTAATTCATGAAAATTTGAAGTTTGGTAAATAATCCTGTCAATGTCCATGGCCCTGTGTAAGGTAGACTTATCCACAAATTCCATTCATCTGCACTGAATGAATCAAATGCAAATTCATCAACTTGTTACAAAGATATGAATGAATTGATTCATAAAAACCGGCTTGAGGAGGGGGCGGGGCCAACCGAGCTGCTGAATGGCCGCGATCTGAATTAGCTCCGGCCACGCCAAACACAATCCGACTTAATCGGGCCGCACAAAACAAAGATGGGTCACCCTAAACGAGCCACATCGTCCCAACAAGCCCCCAGCAAAACCCCGTCGGGGAAATCGGGAGCACTCACCAAGTATTTCCGCGACCGGGCGGACAGCAATACCGGCCTGCTAGGCCCCAACATGGCGGCTGACTCCCCGCCTTTATGCATGTCCCCCTCCAGCCCGGCGGACTCATACAGCTCGGGCCCACCAACAGAAGGGGACCTGAAGGAGATCCTGAGGAACTTACCCTCCAAGCAGGATATTGCAGGTATGCTGACCCGGCTGGAAGCCTCAGTCCAGGCCAAGATGGACTCCTTTAGCTCAGAGATCCGCCAGGTCTCTGACCGAGTGGTCATTCTGGAAGATGACAGGGACGCCATACAAACACAATTGAGCTCCCTACAGGCAACAGTGGAACACCAAAATGCTTACCTATCCACGCTCCATAGGTCTATAGATGATCTGGACAATAGGGGGCGCCGCAACAACTTGCGGATTCGGGGTCTCCCAGAATGTGAGCAGGAAGATATTTATGCAACCCTAAATGAACTCTTCAACCTTATATTAGGAAAACCAGGAGACAGCCACATTCTCCTAGACAGAGCACACAGAGCGTTGAAACCCAGAGGTATAGCGACAGACAAACCCAGAGACGTCATCTGCAGACTCCACTACCACACCTGCAGAGAAGACATACTGAACACGCTGAAACAAAATTCACAACCCCTTCTGTTCCACGAAGCTCCAATCACAATCTATCCAGATCTCTCCTGGCTGACACTACAAGCTAGAAGGATTTTGCGCCCCATTACAGATCAATTGAGAGCTAGAAATATAAGATACAGGTGGGGATATCCACTTGCGCTGAGCGTCACGCACAAAGGCGCCCAGCACACCATCCACTCCCATGCAGACATTCCTCTCTTTATCCAGACTCTCAATTTAACAGATCCGCACATCCAAGACTGGTATGGACCGCTGCAAACACCACTACTCCCTCAGCTGCCACAGAGACCCAGATGGCAACAAACACCCAAGAAAAAGAAAATGGACAACCGAGACCCGATGCAACAGTGATTGGACTCTAACCCGGAGCAAACGGCATGAACCGCTGTCGGACCAGGTCCTGGGACCAGCAACCTACAACTCTCTTGAAACCTCAAAGACACCAACTACTAACTGAAACCTGCCTCAGACGACCGCACAAACTGGCCGAAATGGACTTTCTCGTTACACTGCTAGGCTGTAGAAGAGCACGCTTCCTCCCAGCCTCCTGCACACCTCCCGGGACTCAGGTGACTGTATTCACTGCCCGCTGCCTATATATCGCAATAACGCGCTCACTACAGCAGGAAGCAACAATTCCTCACCTACTATCCCCTTTTAGACCTATCCAGCCTAATATCTCCCACTAATGAGTAACCGTATATAACGGCTTGCAGTGATAATCACCTCCAATGCGGACATGGTTACAGGCCAGACAGCAAGGTTTCTCTAGCACTAATCAACCCCCCACTCTGCGGACCAGGTAACCGGGTTGGCAGAGGGCAGCCGTAGCACGGTAATCCAATCCCACCTATTGGCCCACTACACAGGTTAAGAACAACCGTCAGCTAAAATATATAAAAAAAAAGAGAAAAAATAAATAAAAAAAAAAGGCTCATAGACATTGGCACAGTTTAATATGTTTAACTCCTATTACTGATACACATGCCTGAATGTTTGATGTGTTGTAAATAATGTTAACGGATTGTGTTCTGGCGGTGATTGACTGTAAACCAATTCTCCTTCTGCTCCATCAAGAGAGCTTTTGGTTGACGTCAACTACCTAAGACCACCCCCGCTTCTCTCCCTCACTGTTTAACTACTATCATATGCATACTTGATAACTCCTATCGTATTAGGTTGACACGACCTACACCACGGTGTCACAGACGCACCCAGGTGGCAAAATCCCACCTTGGGTCCGACACCAGAGGTTCTCCCCTCAGGCTGCCGACGGGCGACTGGCTAGACCTGCGCCTTTCCACAACCTAAGGGGATAATTATAAATTCTATTTAATTATTGAATATCTGTTTGTATATAAGTTATTTACTGTATTTGTATATTTTTTCTTTTCCCTTCTTCCTTGTTACTCCCCTAATTTCACAACTGACCCAACCCCCCCCATCCCTTTCACCCCACAATGAGCAAGACGGACCCTCCGCAAGGGCCACACACACACTCAGACCCGATGGCCACTCTAAAGATAGTCACCCTCAATGTGAAAGGCCTCAATACCCCTGAGAAGCGATCCATGACTCTCACGGAAATGCATAAACTCAGAGCAGATGTGGTCTTTATACAAGAGACCCACTTTAAAAAAGGCATAGCCCCTACTCTCAAAAACAGGGCATACCCCACAGGTTTTTTCAGCAACTACAGAGATACCAAGGCCAGGGGGGTGGCCATACTATTTTCCGCACATACCCCCTTCACATACAAAGACCACAAAACGGACGATGGGGGCAGACTGATCCTGGTGAAAGGCCAGATAGGTCAAAACATGCTTACCTTTGCTAACATATACCTGCCCAATAGACACCAGGGTAAGGCTCTTAAGAAACACCTCCGCATAATTGAATCCTTCATGGAAGGCATGTTAATCCTGGGTGGTGACCTAAACATGTCCTTAGACTCTACCCTCGACACGACCTCCCAATCCACACACTACCAGACCACTACAAGAAAGCAGGTATCACACCTCCTCGATCAGGCTAGGCTACATGACTGTTGGAGAACCATGCATCCTCAAACTAGAGACTACTCCTTCTACTCTACAGCTTCGGGCACATACTCTAGACTGGACATGCTATTCCTTCCCCAGGATCACTTACACCTGGCCACCTCCTGCACTTACGGCCCGATCACCTGGTCGGATCACGCACCCCTGTCTCTTGCCGTACGGATTCCTACACTCCCGCTAACATCTTTTCATTGGAAACTTAATGATTTCCTACTCAATGACCCCGCCATCACATCGCGAGTGGAAACTGCTCTCGCTAACTACTTCCAAGAAAACACGCTCCCATCCATTTCCCCCATCATAACCTGGGAGGCACACAAGTGTGTCATACGGGGAGAATTTCTGGCAATCATGGCTACCCTTAAAAAACAGAGGATGCAAAGAATCGATGCACTCACACGGGAAATTAGGACCCTGGAACATACTCACTCCAGGGATAGCTCCCTCCTGACGTATAACACTCTCATAACCAAACGCGCAGAACTGACACAATTACTGCAACGCCAAGCCAAGAAAAAACTCTTAAACACCAAACACTCCTACTACGCGAGGGGAGGCAAATGCGGCAAATTGCTTGCCAATGCCCTGCGCCAATCCAGACAAAATGCATACATTCCTAAAATCAAGACACAAACAGGCACAATATCCCACACCCTTCCAGATATCATGGAAGCCTTTCAACAATTTTACACCAAACTGTACAATCTCAGGAACTCGCCCCCCTCCACAACTGACATAGAAAGTTTTCTTTCCTCTAGGCTCAAAAACACAATCCCTGCGGACGTAGCCCGCTCCATAGACATGCCTATTACCCAGGACGAATTAAAATGTGCGATCAAATCAACACCGTTGGGCAAAAGCCCAGGCCCTGATGGCCTTACGGCCAAATACTATAAACACTTTGCCACACTTCTGACGAAACCATACCTGAGGGCATTTAACGCTCTCACAGACCCGCTCCCACTCCCAGCATCGGCACTAGAAGCACACATCACACTGTTGCCGAAACCGGGCAAAGACCCCACTGAATGCGGTAGTTACCGCCCAATATCGCTCATCAATGTAGACCTAAAGATATGCACGAAAATTCTAGCCACGCGACTTCAACCGATCCTACACACCTTAATACACCAAGACCAATCTGGCTTCGTCCCTAAACGCGAGGCCAAACACAATACAACTAAACTATTAAATCTCATACACCTCTCCCATGTCACTCAAAGACAGAGCCTACTTCTATCCATAGACGCAGAAAAGGCGTTTGATAGAGTAGACTGGAAAATGCTGACAGCCACACTCCAAGCCTTAGGCTTTGGCCCAAATTGGATGAAATGGATGGGAGCCATATACTCTACCCCGACGGCGAAATTGAGAATAAATGGCCAATTATCAAGCCCAGTACACATTAGCAACGGCACGAGACAGGGGTGCCCTCTCTCCCCCTTACTCTTCATCCTCTCTTTAGAACCCTTTTTGCAGGGAATAAGAGACAACGACGACATTCACGGATTCACTGTCCACCCACAGGAGTTTAAGGTCTCTGCATTTGCAGATGATCTACTATTCTCCATCATGGATCCACTCACTTCCCTGCCACCCCTGCTTGCAGAACTGGAGGCTTATGCAGAACTATCCAACTTTAAGGTCAATTACACAAAAAGCGAAATTTTACCCCTCCGAATAGACAGACGCACACAAACTGAACTTAAAGCTGTATATCCCTTCACTTGGGCCGAGAAGTCCATCACCTATCTAGGGGTCCACCTGCCCAGACACTTAAAACACACATATGATCTAAACTTCACACCACTTCTAACGGCAATATCGAAAGATATAGGGGACTGGCAGAGACCGGTTTTCAGCTGGTTATGTAGGATCAACATATTGAAGATGAACACGCTACCTAAAGTGCTGTACCTCCTACAAACACTCCCCATCACAATCCCCCCCTCCTTCTTCACTAAACTCAAACGAATCTTCACGACCTTCATCTGGGCGAATAAACGTCCGAGGATAGCATACTCGGTTCTGACCAGACATAGAGAACAGGGAGGGTTGGGACTACCCCACATTGAACGCTACTACCAGGCGGTCATACTGACTAGGATATACGAATGGAATGCAATACACCCACTCAAACAATGGGTACACATAGAGAGCTCCATGTTCCAATCCCCTCTATGTATGATCCCATGGCACGACGAGGGTCGTTCTCTCCTCCGGCCACAACACGTTCATCACCCAACGATCATGCCCACACTACGTATATGGTCACGCATTAGACACCAAACTGACGTCTCCCCACATCCCTCACCCTTCTACCCTCTAGCACATAACCCCAACTTTTTACCGGGCTTACCCCCAGTTCTTCCATCAGTTCCCACCGACTCAAAAAACAAAATACCCGATGGTCAGCACGGTCATCACACCAAAGGGGATAGCCCCGCTGTCTATCTTAGCATCCACAGACCACCCAACTTCCCAGCAATATTTCCAATACGCCCAACTGTCACACTTCCTGAAGGGGGGATCACACCTTCTCCGAGGAACACGAGCACACACCAAATTTGAAACCTACTGTACTACACACAGCCTACAAATCAAGCACCTATCTATATTCTATAGACTCCTTAACACCATCAATCCCACCCCTCCTCCCCCATTCACAGCGTCATGGGAAACTGAGCTGGGGATTAACATTCCAATGGGTACATGGCATAAAATATTCATCTATGCCCATACCACGTCCATTAGCACCGCAGTAAGGGAAAGCACATATAAAAGAATCTCTAGATGGCATTACTCACCTGCTAAGATACATGCTATTTTTCCAACAGCGTCAGATACATGTTGGAGGTGTGGGCAACCCAGAGGAACTACAGCTCATATCTGGTGGCTCTGCCCGACCATCCAAACCTACTGGCAGAGGTTAGGAGGGCTAATCAAGGCTATAACAGGCCATCAACTACCACAATCACCTGAAACCTTCCTCTTCCTTGTCCACACGACCCGCATTCCAAACCTCCAACGCAAACTAGTCAACCATTTGCTGACAGCAGCAAATATGTTGATACCGTTGAAATGGAAAAGCACCAGGGCCCCGTCAGTGCGGGAGTGGATACAAAAGGTAGAATTCATACGGACCATGGAAGAACTAGACGCATCATACTCAAACAAATACTCCACCTACACCTTAACATGGCAACCTTGGCTGACTTATCTAGGCAATAGAGCCACTTAATCACCGTCTAAACCACCAGCTACACAAAACCACCCTAATACCTGCTCTGTTTCTACCCCTTCCCCGTTGTTCCCCCATTACTATAAGCTGCAAACTATACCATGCTTGAAGTTATATTGAACTCAATAGAACAAACTATATTGTCCGCTTTGAGACAAAATCTCCTCAAATCCATTATTGTTACCCTATTCTGTTGTGCAACTGTGATAAATGTAAAAATGCGCAGACTTTGTTACCTGCATATTTCGAACTATTAACTGTTATACAAAGGTGGCAAACAATACCCATGTTTTGTTTTGTAACTTTATATGCGCAATCAAAATAAAGATTAAAAAAAAAAGATATGAATGAATTGATTTGTTCATTCATAGATTGACAGGCATTTTATTTTAGCGCAGCTGAAACGGATTTGTGACAAGTCTAGTGTGACAACAAGTAGATTGTCATGAAAGACAAGTAGCTTGGGCTACCGCTTTAGCTCTTTAGACAGTAGATTTTTAATATTAAGTTCCACACACTGTGATAAATAAACATTTGAGTAGAAGGTGGTATGCATTAACCCTACATGACGCCTGTGAAGCTCTATTTGTAGTTACTCTTGGTGGGCTGTGGACCCCCTTTCACAGATCTCAGACATGAACTTACTTGTGTGCAGCAACGCCTTTGAATATAGACATTGTATATACCATCACTTTCCAACATATGAGGATGATCATGTAGCATATTCCCTGTGTTATTATATATAACCTCTCTGTATACATCGCAAGAAATCACACTTCATATCCCCTTTTATTTTCCATGCCATAAATAACCACAGTGTATAATATACTCTCCTTTTCATAACATAAAATAAGGATGCTCACAATAAAAACTCCATGTATAATTTTAAATCACCTCTCACTACATATTACAGGTCATCACACTGTATATCCTGTTATTTCGCAGCATCTAATGGCTATCACATTGTATATGCTACCTGTGCTTCTACATCTACCCTCTCTATGTATCTTGCATTTATTAGCACTGTTTACCCTTTGTTATTTCACACCGTATAATAAATATCCTTGCATACTTTATTCCTTGTGTTGTTATATTATTTTCTAAGTATATATCGTAGGCAATCCCACTGCATCACCCCCTGTTATTTACCAGCTTATAATGATTATGATCACATTGGGTATCCTTGTGTTATTATATATCCCCTGTCAGTATATTACACGAAAATACACGATTTACCAGTTTATAATGATGATCACATTGTATATTCCCTGGGTGATTATATATTATTATTATTATTATTATAATTTCACCTGTCAGTATATTTATGGTAAAAGTGTATTTTAGCGTATTTTTTTTTTTTTTTCAATTTTACTCAAAGCAAATAGCGTATTTTATTATTAACAGTCATTATTAAAATACACTTTAACCTTAACTTGATTAATTTTAGGCTACCCCCACCCCCTAAAAGGATTAACTATATAGGCATCACAACTTTAAACACACTGACTTCACGTTATTAGTGTAGAAGTAAACAGACATCCAGATGTTTAAATCCCCACCCGGAAGAGGGATGAGCTGTACATATATTCCATGGAGGCTAACGGTATGGCACTACCAGGGTCGGTGCAAGGATTTTTGGGTACACAGGAGATGATAATTTTGGCACCCCCCCTCAAAACCATCTTCACCTGTGTGCCCCTTAGCCCACCTTTTGTTTCTTATCCCCTTTTTTAAATGTCTTACCCCTTTAGTGTATCTTATCCCCATTTTTTTCCCATTGTGTGCCTTAAATCTCCCACAACCCCCTTTTGTGTGTCTTACCCCCACCCCCTTTGTGTGTCTCCTTCTTTCCCAGCCCCTTTGTGTGTTTCTCTTTCACCACAGGCCCCTCTGTGTCTCTTTTTCCTGTTCTCCAGTCCCTCTGTGTCTCTTTCACCCCCAGCCCCTTTTTTTTTCCACACCCAGGCCCTTCTGTGTGGCGCTTTTATCCCCAGCCCCTCTGTGAACTTTCTCACCCCCGGGCCCATCTGTGTGTCTTTCTCCCCAGTCAACCAGACCCCCAGTGTTCCCCTCTCCTCCCCTCCATGTCCATTAGTGTTCCTCTCCACCCTTACCTGTCTCTTAGTGCCCCCCCCCTTCTCCTTAAATGTTCATCTCCCTTCTTTTTTAGTGGTTCCCACCCTACCCCATTGTTCCTTATCCCTTCCCTCCCCTGTGCCTTAGTGCCCCCCTTGTTCCTCTCCCCTCCCTCTTTTTTAGTGTTCTTTTACCCCCCATCTGATCACATGGTATATCCCCTGGGTTATTATATATCAGCTGTCAGTATATTACTATTATTACACTATCCCCAGTTAGTTACCAGTTTATAATAATGATAATCACATGGTATATCCCCTGGGTTATTATATATAAGCTGTCAGTATATTACTATAATCACACTATCCCCCGTTATTTACCAGTTTATAATAATGATAATCACATGGTATATCCCCTGGGTTATTATATATCAGCTGTCAGTATATTACTATTATTACACTATCCCCAGTTAGTTACCAGTTTATAATAATGATAATCACATGGTATATCCCCTGGGTTACTATATATAAGCTGTCAGTATATTACTATAAATCACACTATCCCCCGTTATTTACCAGTTTATAATAATGATAATCACATGGTAGATCCCCTGGGTTATTAGATATTATTATGTATCAGCTGTCAGTTTATTAATATAATCACACTAGCCCCAGTTATTTACCAGTTTATAATAATGATAATCCCATGGTATATCCCCTGGGTTATTACATATTATTATATATCAGCTGTCAATATATTACTATAATCACATGCTATATCTCCTGGGTTATTATATATTATTATTATTATTGTATATCAGCTGTCAGTTTATTACTATAATCTCATGCTATATCCCCTGGGTTATTATATATTATTTTTATATATCAGCTGTCAATATATTACTATAATGACATACTATATCCCCTGGGTTATTATTATATATTATTATTGTATACCAGCTGTATATTACTATATTGACAGCTCACCCTCTAGGACGGTGTCAGATAATCAGACAGTCAGGACCCGCAGTATGGCCGGGAAGTTGTTGCTGTAGTTGCCCCTGTGTGTGTGTGATATCGATGAAGTTATTCTAATTTGCTATTTAGCGGTCACACCGGATCTTCCTTTCCCAAGCCCGGGAAGAGGGGCGGTAAGACAGCAGCCAGTGGCCAAAGTACCCAGAGAGCAAGCTGGAGACAGCCATACACAGATAGGCCCCGCCCCCTGCCGGAGACAGCCATAGACAGACAGGCCCCGCCCCCAGCTGGAGGAAGTCATACACAGATAGGCCCCGCCCCCTGCTGGAGACAGCCATAGACAGACAGGCCCCGCCCCCAGCTGGAGGAAGTCAAACACAGATAGGCCCCGCCCCCTGCTGGAGACAGCCATACACAGACAGGCCCCGCCCCCAGCTGGAGGGAGCCATACACAGACAGGCCCCGCCCCCAGCTGGAGTCAGCCATACACAGATAGGCCCCGCCCCCATCTGGAGTCAGCCATACAGAGACAGACCCCGCCCCCAGCTGGAGACAGCCATACACAGACAGGCCCCGCCCCCAGCTGGAGACAGCCATACACAGATAGGCCCCGCCCCCAGCTGGAGGCAGCAATACACAGACAGGCCCCGCCCCCAGCTGGAAACAGCCATACACAGATAGGACCCGCCCCCAGCAGGAGACAGCCATACACAGACAGGTCCCGCCCCCAGCTGGAGACAGCCATACACAGACAGCCCCGCCCCCAGCTGGA